CAAAAAGTTTGCTTAATTGTGCACCTAAATTAAAAGAGATCTCTGAGTGATCGCGAGACATTGGACTGTTTCTCTCATTTTGCAAGAAAATTTTGCGCTTTAAAATTTTTCTCATGTAAGAAATTACCCCAAAATTCCCTTTTTGGCTACTAATCAGATATGATATAAGCTAGGATATCAAAATATAAACAATGTACGTGTTATTAATCTATGTAATTGTGTAAATAACATTTTAATGCCTGGCCTCGATTTTAGCGGTCTATGAGTTTCTGTCTTTACTATTATTGTTAAGGTGATCGAATATAAAAAAATAATAATTAAGAAAATTAAAAAATTAACGACAGATATGAATCTCGAAAATTTCATGGTTATAATCCTTTCTCTCTTATTCCGTTCCATTTTTTTATCAAGCTTTTTGTTTTTCACTCCCACTTAGCCTCTTCCGATCGCTTTTTCGCGTCTGCTTCTGATTAGCTAAAAAAAAACGTGAACCACACCGATCCATTGTCCGTATTCCCCAACATGATTGGTACTCTCAGTGCGAATTAGACAAGTCTAAATGTTTATAATCAATAATTTTTGTCTTCAGATATTGAAATCCGAGCTTCTAATGCATCTTGATACCTTTTCAAAGTAAAAACACACCTCAGATAAAGTCTGGGTAAGCGATAATTTTGAATTTAAGGCACGATAGTAACATTTTCAACATTGAAGATCTATTACGGACAACTTCAAGGATCTCGTCGTCCAAGAATTAGGTAAGAAAATTTGTCTCTAAATAGCTTTGTCTCTAAATTTGCTTTTTTATTATAAAATTATTTCAAAGTTTTCGAAAAATGAAACAAATAATGTATTTTGTACAAATTCACGCATACATTTTATTGGATATTGTGTTTAGAGTAAGTTTCGCGGATGCTGTTTACCTGTATCAAAACTTTAGCACATTGTGCGTCTAAAGTGCCCAAAATTAACAATCTCGTGATATAAACCTATAGTCAAACAAATGTAAATATGGCCGACATCTTCCCCGTAGCGATAATGCTTCTTATTTGCTTTTTACATAACATTGTATTTTTTAAAAGCGTGGGGTAAAGAAAATAAACAAAATTTGTTCCAAACAGTGAATAATTTTTACCGGATACTGCTTTTTATTTTTAGATTTGTGAATGCTGGTTAGTCTCCATTAAAAGAAAAAGTCATTTTATTTAAAAAGTAAAATAAACCAAATATTGTGTGTCAGCGCTGACCCGGATGTAGGAATTTACGTTTACTATTATTTATTGGCCAAAATTGTCTACAGTGCTGAAGCCTTGTAGTTCACATAAATGTCAGCTGTAATAAACATGAACCGGCCTATTCATCCATGGAAATTACGCAAGGTATGAAAATATATAAAGATTAAAATTGTTCATGCTATGATCGCTCAAAGGAGGCCAATATGTCAAAGAAGGGGCGAATTAGAGTGGAGAAGGGTGCTTATGTAAACTCACATAAAGCCACAGTAGGAATCATATATCTTTTCTTTAAATGAAATCCAAATTAGATGCAACCTCAATGAATACTGTATACAACAAGCGTAGTTCAAACGGAACCAATAGAGGTTCTGAAATAGAGGATAATGAGCGTTTTGTGAAATGACTCACACAAGTGCAGAGCAGCATTATGGATAACCATTTACATCCATTATCATAGCAGTATGATTTTGCAACATATGTTTATTTTGAAGTTTTTCTTTTTATAAGGAAAGGGTACCGAGAGGTATTGCAGAACGGAGGGCTTACCAGAAACTTAAAACCATTGACGGGAGGCTTATTAGCATGTTGGAAACTTGACAGCGCGTTTACAGTACAATAATTAATGAAACAGCAGTCAAAAAGCAAATAATAAACACCTTTTTATGAGATATCTCCTTAAAACCAGGCATATTTAGTTTAAGGTATAATGCATAAATTGTCCAGCACAGCAGATGTTCGGCTAAAATGTTTCTTAAGTCGTTTGTGTTTAACGACCAATTCAAAATCGATCCACATTTGGTCATCATTTAGTCAAAATCGAGAGTTAACAGAGAGAATTACCCCGAAAGTTTCCCTTCTACTGACCTTCATGACATAGATGTTTTTTAATGGTACTGTTTTATATAAACCGTTTTAACGTAAAATAAAATGGCTCTGGCCCAGATACTAATATTGACCCGGGAAATCGATGTGTTTTACCGAAATTCGGACGACGAGAAGGCTAACGACCCGTGCACCTGTCCTGCCGCAGATCTCAATTATAATCATGATGATAATAATAACTACAATAATAATGGTTTCTTGAATGTGCTTCCACGAGGTGGCTCTTCGCCCTCCAATCACCTAGCTGATAATCACATTTAATGAGCTTTATTTACAATAAAATGAATGAAACTGACAAATCATCCTAAGCCTACCTAATATACAAAAAGTTTGCTCAACTGTATATCTAAACTATAAGAGATCTCTGAATGATCGTGAGACAGTGAACTGTTTCTTTCGTTTTGCAAGAAAATTTTGGGCTTTAAAATTTTTCTTACATAAGAAATGACCTCAAAATTCCCGTTTTGGCGACTAATTATATGTGATATAGCGATATTACGATGTAAATATTGGTATATGTAATCACATGAGGCCAAGTACTATTAAGGATTAATTGCACGAGAGTTTTCAAAATTTTCCAATTTGGAAAATTTTTAAAACTCAAGTGCAATTAATCCTTAATAGTACGAGGTCTCATGGGATTACTTGTTTATCAATAAAGGGCAAAATTTATACGAAGGAAAATCACGCGCGCAGTTTATTTTTATCTGGGAAGCCTGTTTAGCGCTACGGCAAATCATCAATCAAATTGAACTGACCAATCGATTCAATGAAATTTTATTCTCCAAAACTGTGTCGTGATACACTGCCAAAAGTCTAGAAAACAAAGCTCATTTCAACAGAGCGTTTCTGCCAACAGAAAAACAACAAAGTGCTTTTAACTGAACAAGGTAATCATGCCCTCTCTTGATTACTAAAAATGCCCCCGATTAAGAAAAAATGCCCTCTCTCTCAACCAATCAGCGCTCAGTAATTTTGCCCTTTATTGATAATACTTGTTATCGATCTATATAATTGTGCAAATAACTTTTAAATTAAGTGGCTCTTCAGAAGAACCGAAAGGTAATTGTAATACTTGGCTTCGAATTTAGCGGTCCACGAGTTTCTGCCTTTATCATTATTGTTAAGGTGATCAAATATAAAAAAAAAAAGAAAAAAAAAACTACAGTTGTGAATCTCGAGAATTTTATGGTTATAATCGACAACGTTAACTTCTCAATCATTTCTTTTTCCTTTGTCTTTCGCTCCGACTTAGCCTCTTTCGATCGCTTTTCACGTCCGCTACTGATTATCTCAAAAAGCGTGAGTCACACCGATCTATTGTCCGTATTCTACGACATGATTGGTACTCTCACTGCGAATTAGTTAAATCTAGATGTTTATCATTGAGGCAAGGGAATTTTTTCGCCTACAGATGTTGAAAGCTGATGTACTAATTCTAATGCATCTTAATACCTTTTCAAAGCGAAAACACACCTCAGGTGAAGTATAGGTAAGCAATAATTTTGAATTGAATTTCAGGCACAATAGTAACATTTTCAACACCGAAAATCTATTTAGTAAACACTTAAGGATCTCGTCGTCCAAGAATTAGTTTGGAAAATTTGTCTCTAAATAGAAAACATTAATCGCAGCCATTATTGAACAGCTGCCTCTTCTCTGTACTGTGCAGTATGGTTTTGTATCTTAACACATTTATAGAGGAAACACACCTCAGCTGAAGTATAAGTAAGCCATAATTTTGAATTTCAGGCACGATGGCCGGGTAACATTCGAAAGACCGAAGATCTATTACGTAACAATTTAAGGATCTTTTCGGCTGAAATTTCGTCAATAAAACCCGTTTGAAAATAGAGTGAATTAATCGCAGCAGTTCTCGGTCAGCTGCCTCCTCTCTGTACTTAGTAATTTGGTTTTTCTGCGTTTTTTAAGGTTTTTACCTCCTCTTTCCTCAAATATAAGGTCATTCGGTTTTATCAGCCGAGTTGATAATGTAAATTAGCCACCGTAAAGATTTGCTACAGGTACATTTGTCTCAAATATGTCTATTAACTCAGTTTAAGGGTTTTACGGCGAAAAGTCTGAGAGAATGGGAAAACTATATTTATATGAAAGTGTAGCTGATACAGACTTTCACTTTTATTTTCACGTTCCTCTGTGAGTAAAATTTGACGAACACTTTCCAGAGCCGAGACAAAATGTTTTCGATTATCAACGTATCAGCATGAAATTCGCGCTCTGAGCGAAAGTGGAACAAAATTATTATGTTTTACCTGCAGATAAGGAAAAAGGACTTATGTACTTTGATTTTACAGGGACGGCGAAGCAATAAAATTAAGTATTTACAACTTGAATCTTCTCTTTTATCTAGTGATAACAAAAAAAATAAATTGCTAGTCAAGAAATTTGCTTTTCAACTAAACCAATTTCCTACATCACAACGATGTAATCGTCGACAGGTTGTTTCAGAGACTCTTTGATGATAACAGTTAGAAAAAAGCAAACATTAACTGAAACTACTCAATGGAATTTGTAATGACTCCATATCTCAATTGTAAAGTTCTAACTGGGTAAAATACCATAGAAAACGGTTTTATTTCCAAAACGGACAAATTTGCTAAAGGAGAGAGTTTCTTCAAAAACCAGCTACATAATATTCGGACTCGAAGAAAAGTATATGAAATGAATAATAACAGATTTGACGTTCCCACGACAACTTTATTTGAACAAGTTCTTATGATATATGCCAGGAAGTTATGTGCCCCGAAAATAGGTATACAAACCGTGATAGTTGTGCGAAAGTGAAGAGAAAGAGGCATCTCGAGGTTAAATAAGAGTTTAAATTTGTCATTTTTTTTTTCTACACAGAGCTTGGAATCAAATATGGAATTGGGTTTTACCTTGGTATATGTCGTTACTATGATCGTCGCTTTGCAAGGAAACATTTTGCTGATATACATCGTCTGGAGGAAACGTGAGACAAGAACTTTGACTAGTTTCTTGTTTGTCAATATGGCGATTGCCGATTTACTAATTGCAGTATTTCAGATGCCCTTCTCCATGGCGCACTTCTACGTCTCTGAATTCACTGGTGCGGTCGGGAATCTATTCTGCCGATTTGTTATGTATCTTGTGAATGTGTCCATGACAGCCTCGATCTTCAGCCTTGTCGTGATGGCATTCGATCGATATTTTGCCGTCATACACCCTTTGAGGCGAATGATTTGGTTCCGAAGAGCCAAAATTATTCTACCAGTCATTTGGATCGCATCCTGGACCTTAATGGCCGTCACACCATTTTCTTACATGGCCGAGAATAGCCTTGGAAAATGCTTTTATACAGACGAACATATCCCGCGGGTGCCCTTTTGGACTTACCTACTGCTCATCAACTACATCATGCCTCTTGCCATCATCTCTGCCCTGTACATCGTAATTGCGCGAAAGATATGGTTCCACGAAATTCCTGGTCAACTTGAATCTTCCAGACTCCAGCCAGATGAACAGATTCCAAGGAAAAAAGTTGTTCGAACGCTCATTATTGTTGTGGTGGTTTTTGCGGTCTGCTGGTTTCCCATACAAGTGCTTCAAATGAACTTTGCAGTGACAGCTGGAATGACTTGGCACCCCATTGCTATCTACTCTATCCATTGGCTTGGTCAAGCTAACAGTGCCATAAACCCCTGGCTGTACGTCGGTCTTAATGGCAAAATGAATGCAGCTTTCAAAAGAATGATCCGATGCCACGGGCAGGGTAATACTTTGTTACACAGACCATCTACCGCGACTTTACGTTCAAATACAGCCGTTACCACAGTATGAAATCCTCCAACGGCTTATGGTTGAGCTGATGAAAGCATTGCAGATGGCATGTTCTAGTTAAAAGATTGCAGGCTTGAATGCACATGCTCCATTCAGGATTAGATGAGGTGAAGGAGAAAGTGTATTAGGATCAGTAGACGAAGGCAAGGCCATCAACTGAGTGCCGCGCCACAACTGTTTCGGTTCATATCGACAAAATAGCTGAATATAGATTGAAACTTTAACTCCCTAGCTTGATATAATGGGGCAGAAAATATCATTTCCAGTGCAGGTTATTTACTTCATGAACGGAAACAGTCCAAGAAGAAGTCATCACGGCTAAACAAGAAACAACATTAGTTTGTTTTGACTGCTGTTGAAAATTTAATTTCTTATGCCTTTACTAGAAAAAAAAAAGAGCCGACGAGATGGCTTTTGTTCCCTAGATAATGACTAAATGTAAATAAAGAAAATTATATTAAGGTTTTTATGATTATTATCAGTGTCTGACAGTAATTAACTGATTTGAAATGCAGATTTTATTTTTTCTAGGGCCGACCGTGACGTTAAATGCAACGATCATCAGTGATCGTTTTTCATTTACCAACGGATATCCTTAAGCTGACTGACTACTACACCTCTTTTTTCAAATTTTTCCCTTTTTTTACAAAATACCATCGTTTACTAACGGCCCCCAACTTAACGTGTTTATTTTCTTTTCTGACGATAATGTCAATTCGATTATTTACTAGTCCTATATATTATATAGCACTTGTAAATAATCGAATTACGTGACTGAGACGCTGGTCACGATGAATTTCAGTGTGCTGTTAAAGATTACGTGCAGTCCCTCCTTTTAAGCGGAGTTTAAAAAATTAAAGCTAAAAAAAGCTTCAGAGCTAAAAAAAAGTTTCAGAGTTAAAAAAAAGCTTCAGAGCTAAAAAAAAAAGAAAAAAAAAAGATGCCAGCGCGCCGCCGAGAGCTCTTGGAAAGAGGCATTAATATAAATTTTTCTTATATAAACTCTTTTCCAATGCGAAATGCCTGGGTCGCTCTTACAAAAATCGCCACTGAACTCAGTGTTCACTTAAATATTTATAATTCTATACTATCGTGAATTGAGGTTGTGTAGTTCGCATAAACGTTAGCTGTAATAAACATGAACTGGCCTATTCCCTCATGGAAATTACGCAAAGTATGAAATATATAAATATTCAAACTGTTCATGCTATGATCGCTCAAAGGAAGCCAATATGCCAAAGAAGGGGCTGATTAGAGTGGAAAAGGGTGCTTATAAAAAACTCACAGAAAGCCACAATAGGAATCATATTTCTTTTGCTTAAACGAAATCCAAATTAGATCCAACTTTAATCATTCCAGTATACAGCAATAAATGACTTACCCAAGTGCAGAGCATCAATATTGATAATCATTTTCATACCATTATAATAGCAGTGTAATTTTGCAAAATATATTTACTTTGAAGTTTTTCTGTTTATATGAAAAGGGTACCAAGAGGTATTGCAGAATGGAGGGCTAATCAGAAACTTAACACTGCTGACGGGAGGCTTTTTAGCGCGTTGGAAACTTGACAGCGCGTTTACAATACAGTAATGAAACAAACAGCGGTCAAAAAGCAAATAATAAATACCTTTTATGAGATATCTCCTTAAAACCAGGCATATTCAGTTTCAGGTATAATGCGTGAAGAAGTTGTCCAGCACGATTCAGATGTTCGGCTGAAATGTTTTCCTATGTCGTTTGTGTTTAACGACCGATTCGAAACTGGTCCATATTTACTTGTCATCATTTGGTCAAAATCGCGAGTGTACAGGGAAAATTACCTTGAAAGTTTCCCTTCTACTGACCTTATTTAATAACACAAGTGTTTTTTTGATGGTGCTGTCTTATATAAGCCGTTTTAACTTAAAATAAAATGGCTCTGGCCCAGATACTGATATTTATCCGGGAAATCGATGTATTTTAACAAAATTTGAACAATGAGAAGGCTAATGAACCGTGCATTAACACCTGTCGTACCGTAGATCTCAATTAGAATCATGATGATAAAAATAACTTTAATAATAATGGTTTGTTGAATGCGCTTCCACGAGGCGGCTCTTCGCCCTCCAATCACCTAACACATTTATTGAGCTTAACACTATTTATAATAAAATAAATGTAACTGACAAATCATCCTAAGCCTACTTATTATACAAAAAGTTTGCTGAACTATGTATCTAAATTAAAAGCGATCTCTGAATGATCGCAAGACATTGAACTGTTTCTTTTATTTTGCAAGAAATTTACCTCAAAATTTCCTTTTTGGGTACTAATCATATGTGATATAAGCTAGGATATTAAAATAAAAAAATGTACTTGTTATCGATCTATGACATCTCAATTAGAGCGAAGGAAATGAACGTTGGACCCTGTTTTTTGAAAACCAGACTTGCCTGTGTCGGGCCATGTACAACTTCGCTAAGATAACGTATAAAAAGCAAGTAGAAAACTGTATCCTATTAAGTCATTTCTTAATCACAGTAACTGTCATAAAGTTGTAATATAATTCAGTTTTATCAACTGGGTCGATAACTATTATGTAAATTGGCTCTAAATCTGCCGTTATCTAAGAAATATGTCTGCCATTTCAGTTGAAGGGTTTTGCATCGGCAAATCCAAAGATATGGGGAAAATCAACAGTTTACAGACTTGTCTACCTCTCCCTAGAAGGCTTTTTTTATTTTCACAGCACTGATTGGCGATGCGACTTTATTTCGTGTAGATAGTACTGTGAAATAAAATATTCATCTGTCAAAGGTTGCAAGATAGTAAAGCGCAAAGATAAAGGTTTTTCAGACATCTTAATCAAAGCGAAGAAAATCAACGTTAAACAATATTCTTTGAAAGCCAGACTTTCTTGTCACGGGCTCAGTGCAATTTAGCCTCCTACCTCATTAATCGATACTTGCAGTCTAAGATTGGTTAAAAGAATTTTAATCAATGCCACCTACTGATTTTGATCCCAAACTAACGAGAAATATCATATTGAATATGAATGCGATCTCCGCAGTAATGAACACTACTTCACCAGTAGTGAAAAAAAGGCCTGAAAAAAATTGAAGGCCCGCACGAGATTTAAACCCATAACCTGTGCGACACCGATGCCGTGCTCTATCAACTGAACTAACAAGCCAACTGGGAGCTGTTCATTATGTTGGTTTGTAATAAACCCGTGAAGTTGACAATAATCCGCAGTTCACAAGGATGATTTTCGTACATTCACAGTCATTTAGTCGGTTGATATATAGCCCTGAATAACTAGGCTAGAATTCCGAACATCGCTGCCTTATTTAGATATATAGGACCAGTATATGATCGAATCACGTAACCGTGACGTTGGTCGCGATGAATTTCAGTATCTGCTGTTAAAGATTACGTACAGTCCCTTTTTTTGAGCGAAGTTTAAAAAATCAGAGCTAAAAAAAGCATCAGAGCTAACAAAAGAAAAAAAGATATCAGCGCGCCGCCGGGAGCTCTTGGAGTGAGGCACTAACATAAATTTTTTCTTCATTTATTTTTTTCGACTTGAGCCACGGACTTCGCCGAAAAAGAGGGACTGCTGTTATCGCCGGTTACACTAAATAAAATCCTGTACTTGGTTCTGAAATGTTCATACAAGTTTGAATAGCTTGAGCTCTCTAAACTAAAATATTAACGAAAAAAAAAACAGTTTTTTTTTAAAGTTTCTAATTATCACGTTGATCGAACGCTAAGTAATAAGATATTCGATAGGTTCTGTTCACCTTTTTCGTCACGAGACAGAATCATTTGCCAGAATTTAGCCGTTTAAAATGTTAAGAGAATCAACCAGTGTGTTCTAAAAGCTCTTACCTACTATCTCTACTTTTTAAAATAGTTAAAATCTAAGATTTATGAAGCTACCAGTATAAACGCTCGGAGTTGGTTCAACAGACTAATTCAAATTATTTGAATAATTCTGCTGTCACGACAGCAAAATTACCAAAAGTTTGAGATCATTAAGGCGAAGGAAATTAATAAGTGCAAGATGTTTTTTACTCATTGCTAAAGATAGTTTAATGGGCAAAGTTTGAGGTAAACCTTTATTCCGATGCAAAATGCCTTGGACCGCTCTTAGATCGCCACTTAACTCAGTGTTAACTTAAATGTTTATAATTCGACACTACCGTGAAGTGAGGTTGTGTAGTTAACATAAACGTCAGCTGTAATGAACATGAACCGGCCTATTCACCCATGGAAATTACGCAAAGTATGAAAATATATAAACATTCAAATCGTTCATGCTGTGATCGCTCCAAGGAGGCCAGGAGAAGGGTGCTTATGAAAAACTCACAGAAAGCCACAAAAGGAATCATATTTCTTTAGTTTAAATGAAATCTAAATTAGATCTAACTTCAATGAGTACCGTATACAGCAAGCGTATGTTAAACAGAACATCAATAGAGGTTGTAAAATAGAGGATATTGAGCCATTATCATAGCAGTATAATTTTGCAACACATGTTTATTTTGAAGTTTTTCTGTTTACAAGAAAAGGGTATCGAGAGGTACGTATTACAGAACGGAGGGCTTTAAATTTTTCTTACGCAAGAAATTACCTCAAATTCTCTTTTTGGCAACTAATCATATGTGATATAGGGATATTACGATATTAATATTATACTTGTTATCGATCTATGTAATTGTATTAATAATTATTCAATTAAGCGGCTCTTCAGAAGAACCGAAAGGTTATTGAAATGCTTAGCTACGATTTTAGCGGTCCATGAGTTTCTGTCTTTAATATCATTGTTAAGGTGATCCAAAATAGAAAAAAAAAAACAACAGTTGTGAATCTCGAGAATTTCATGGTTATAATCAAACACGTTAACTTCTCAATCATTTCTTTCTCATTCCGTTCCATTTTGATATCAAGCTTTATGTTTTCCGCTCCAACTTAGCCTCTTCCGATCAATTTTTCACGTCTGCTTCTGATTAGCTAAAAAAACGCGAGTCACACCGATCCATTATCAGTATTCCATACTTGTATTAGACAAATCTAGATGTTTATCATTGAGGCTGGGTAACTTTTTGTCTTCAGATATTGAAATCCGACGTTCTAATTCTAATACATCTTGATACCTTTCAAAGAGGAAACTCACCACAGGTGAAGTATAGGTAAGCGATAATTTTGAATTTCAGGCAAGATAGCAACATTTTCAACACCGTCTGTTAAGACAAATCTCAGGATCTCGTAATCCAAGAATTAATTTGGAAAATTTGTCTCTAAATAGAAAATATTAATCGCAGTCATTATTGAACAGCTGCCTCTTCCCTGTACTGTGTAAAATATGGTTTTGCATCTTAATGCACTCTATTTTCAAACGAATTTTATTTACATGATCTTAGACGACGAGATCTTTAAATTTTTAAATATTAGATCTTCGGTGCTTCAAAAGTTACTATCGTGCCTGTAATTCAAAATTAGCGCTTACTTAAACTTCACCTGAGGAGGTTTTCGCTTTGAAAATGTGTTAAGATGTAAAATCATACTACACAGCACAGAGAAGAGGCAGCTGGTCAAGAATGGCTGCAAATAATTGGCTCTATTTAAAAATGAATTTTGTTACTAGATTCTCAGACGACGAGATCCCTAAATGTTTACTTAATAAATCTTCGGTGTTGAAAACGTTACTATCGTGCTTAAAAATCCAAAATCATCGCTTACCTATATACTTTACCTCAGGTGTGTTTGCTCTTTGAAAATGTGTTAATCACAGCAATTCTTGGTCAGCTGCCTCCTCTCTGTACTTAGTAGTATGGTTTTTCTGCGGTTTTTCAAGGGTTCTCAAGGTTCTCTCTTGCGTTCTCTTTTCTGAAATATAAGGTTTGTAAATGTAAATTGGTCACCGTAAATATTTGCTACAAGTGCCTTTGTCTCAATTATGTCCGCTAACTCAGTTTCAGGGTTTTACGGCGAAAAATCTGACGGAATGGGAAAACTTGACAATTTACAAACTATCCCACCTTTCCCAAAAGGTTTTCTTTACTTTCAAAGTATGTATTTGCAATGTGTTTTCACTTCAGAAAGAAAGTATAATGAATTAAAATATTCTTCTGTCAAAGGTTACAAGATGAAAAAAACGCCTAAGTCAAAATTTGTCTGACACCACGCTGGGGCCAGACCACCCCCAATATGTCTTATTCGAGGTGCCTGTTCATCACTGTTCATTACTCATGAATAGATCTTGCATATTAAAAATAAGCTTTAATAATTTCACAGCAGGAATTCCTTACTGCCTTTTGTTCTGGACAGAAAAGAATTCCTGTTATTATACTATCAAAGCTATTTATGCAAGATATACAAGTTTGTACTGTTAGTGTTTGTTATGTATTGCTAATATTTGCAATGCATTGTTTTCTTTACTTTCATAGTATGGATTAGCAATGTGTCTTCAGTTCAGAAGGAAAGTGTAGTACAATAAAACATTCTTCTGCCGAGGGGGTTGCAAGATGAAAAAGCGCCCAAGTAAAAATTTGTCTGACACCACGCTGGGGCCAGACCACCCCCAGTATGTCTTATTCGAGGTGCCTGTTCATTACTGTTCATTACTCATGAATAGTTCTTGCATATTAAAAATAAGCTTTAATAATTTCACAGCAGGAATTCCTTACTGCCCTTTGTTCTGGACAGCAAAGAATTACTGTTATTATATTATCAAAGCTATGTATGCGAGATACAAGTTTGTACTGTTGGTGTTTGATATGTATCCCTAATATTTGCAATGCATTGTTGTCATGTATGCATTCTAAAATTACTGAAAAATCCTGATGAGCTAATTGGCGTGTTCCTATGATTTTACTATCATTGTCATTATACATGTTTTAGATAAATTCTTTTGAGAATTATGTGTGATTTTGATTCCAATACATGTAGGAGCTACAACAAGAAATGCAAAAGTAAACATGATGTAATTGTTTTATTAGTTTTATGTTGCAAAAACATTTGCAGTATTTACTGGAAAAATGCATGTAATCATAAATGTACGATACCAAAATAAAACTGTTGAAAATACATAGCCAATAAACAGTCATTTGTAGGTTTCTCATATGCAATAGTTTTCCATACAGTATCAAAATGACAAGTTGTGTATGTACTGATTTGAAATATCTAATCTTCCAGGATTTAAAGTTTGACATGAAAATGTTGTTGCTTATAATGCATAAAACATGTTCTCGAAGATAAAATTATTTTCATTTCAAATAACAGTCAACCTTGTCTTCATTTACACTTTTGCTTATGAGATCAATTATCTCACTGCTACATATTGAGCACTTCTTTGCACTTGGTGAGTTCTTCAGATTGCCATAGTAACAGTATTGTGCACTGGTAACTCTCTTTGGAATATATGAATCTGTCTTCTTCTTTTTGTATGTGATACTCACAGGATTTAACTCCCGAAGCCAAATCATAGCTATATATTCGTGTCGAAAGACAACCCACCATCTGTCACTCTTTTTCGCATTACGTGTGTTCTCTAAATATCTGGCTAATTTGATATGTTTAGCTTTACTTCCTTGCATTGAGTTTAATCCCAAGCCATACTTAAACTGTTCAAAGAGTTGAAGATTATGGTAAGAGTTGCATACCCGACTGTCCAGACTATAGGGCTGATTCTAGGACCAAGAAATAGACCATAGGCATTGAAATAGTTTTTGCGGTTCAAAAACAGCTTTTTAAAGAGATCCCTGTTTACTTCTACTCTTGTATAAATAGAAGTAGCCTCCCTTAGTTCTATTGCAACATATGCTAAGGCATGCAATTTAACCTTGATGGTCTTGGATAATGATTCAACACTGAGCAATTCTTGGATAGCGTAAGCAAAATTCCAACAGAATCGTTTAGATTCTAGTCCAGTGAAACGATAGGAAAAGTCAATCTTTATAAGTCTCTTTTCCCTAAACCAGCAACAATAGCTTTAGTACAATCGTCCACATTTCACAGTGTTTTTGACACATTTCATGAACATTACAATAGTACTTATTTTCGGTAGATCAGTTAGAGCTGTAGCACATTCCAACAATCCTGGAGGTGTATACTGCATTGCTATTACTATTAAAAACGTGAACCAGTGCTGGCATGCGTTATTCATATTATGAAGGGGTCCAGCTTTTATCAAGTCAACATACTTTCCAAGTGGGGGTTCATATTCTTGACGTGATACTTGTTTTTCAATAAAAGCTGTAACTCTCGAGCGATCTTTTCCACTTAGATTTTTGAGTGTTTTCTTATTACATGCAACTTTTTCCGCATTTTTAAGACGGTCTTGGTAATCCCATGGTTTCCAAGCAGCTGTTGTTTCTTTGCCAATACTACCACCCCTAGTTTCTTTTGTTGTTTGATTGACATCAGCAGATGATGAGAAATAGGTGGCTGCATTGTTCAACTCACCAGACATGTATGCCACCCATTTCTGATCACTAGGTATGAGATCGAACTGAAAGGAAACCTCATGGCCTTTTTCAGTTTTGAACGTTTTACTATCTGTCTTCTCCATTTCTTTTGATAGTAAAGTGTACTTTATTAAGAGCGGGTGGTCCTCCTCACAGTTGGCTACACTAGTAGATGATTATTGTGGCAACTTTGCACTCCTTGAAGCAGATTAAGGAAACTTACAAGGTAAGCTGTAAATGAAGGAAATAAAACGTTCAATGAAAATTATAATGCAAGTTTGAACGGTGGGTTACTATTTCGTTTAAACCTATAAACGAACTTGTAAGTCATCACATTTTAGAGCTTTACCATAAGCTATGAAATTTAAACTGGCCATAAAATAATAAAATCATTACAGAATATAGGATAATAGGATAAATCAGTGAAATTTCCTAACTGCAAGTGTGCCATGCCTAAAACTTTCCTCTATGATCTACGCGTATACCTACCAGTTACGCTGTCATCCTTCCCAAAGGGTGCTCCATAAGCTCTAATTGACACGTGCATTACATTCTTCTGACCATTAAACCAAATCAAGCAGGGATTTTATTCATTACCTGTGATGTATAAGTCAGCTAGTCTCAGCAGAAAAGGCTTCAGTGGTCGATAAACACCACACAAATGTTGCACGCAAAAGTTTCTTGACAGTTCATGCAAGTTTCGTACCTCACCTATGTCTATACCAGTTGACATACTTCGTAAAGGTCTTATGTGCAACTATTTTAGGAAGTGTACATTTTAGAAAAACTTTATTCTTTTTATTCTTCCCACTACTGCTGACAATATCACCGCTATTGCATATGAAGATGTATTTTCTTTACCTATCAGCCCTCCTTCATACAGAACCCTGAGACTTCTTATTTGGTTTAATTTGCCGTTTTCAAACTCTTTGAATTTGCCCTTCACAATTTCTGGCAATTTACTTCCCATGTAGACACTTGATTTTGATATATATATATATATTCTTTAACCTCAGGTTGCGAGGTTGTTCTCAACAATGTTGTCCCAAGTCCATCTTTGACACTCCTTGAATCCTTTTCATTTTGTTTTCAATTGTTCATGCTATGATCGCTCAAAGGAGGCCAGGAGAAGGGTGCTTATGAAAAACTCACAGAAAGCTACGATAGGAATCATATTTCTTTAGTTTAAATGAAATCTAAATTAGATCCAACTTTAATGAATACCGTATACAGCAAGCGTATGTTAAACGGAACACCAATAGAGGTTCTGAAATAGGTGTCCAATGGCAAAATTTCAAAAATGAATTTGATCTATACTGAATGAATTTATGATATTCCCATATTTAAGCTTAAGTTTTTAACTCGCAATTATGTTTCTTGGTAATCTAATTTCAAGAAAATTGTAAACATATAAGAGCAAGCCGGGCACCATCCCAAAATACCCAAACATTTCTTGGACTAAAAAAACCTAGATTCAAGTTTATTATCGGATTTGAAGAGAAATTTTAAAATCTCCGGAAGATCATTGAAATCAGTAAAAAAAAATTTTTTTGAAATTGCTCAAAAAAAAGAACGTAATGTATGAATATGATGTTGGTTTCCCCAAATTTTTGTGGATCTAGGAACGTATTCAAAGCGCCCCTAGTAGATTAGGTCTGCTGAAGAGAAAAAAATTATATAAAATAATGTCTTCTTCTTTTTTTTTTAATTCAAACTGATAACTCATGATCACACTATTGAAGAGTTTTGATATCATGAGGATACTGATATAAATTCGTTTTTCCTATCATAAACGTAATGGCAAATTTTTAAAAATAGATTTAAGACCTACAGAGCTTTTTCTATGCAATTATTTCATTCATTACCAAACATTGCAGCTCTCTGATAAAGCCTAGCGGCCTGCTTATAAATAAAATAAAATATTATTTATCATCTTTAATTGATAATGGATACTAACAGATTTGACGTTCCCACGACAACTTTGTTTCAACAAGTGCTTATGATATAAGCCAGGAAGACTAAACCTGCTCGAAGAAATGTTTTCTGTTGTGTATCCCGAATATAATTACAGAAACCGTGATAGTTGTACGAAAGTGAAGAGAAAGAAGCATCTCGAGGTTAAATAAGAGTTTAAATTTGTCATTCTTTTTATACAAAGAGCTGGGAATCAGATATGGAATTGGGTTTCACCTTGGTATATGCTGTTACTATGATCGTCGCTTTGCAAGGAAACATTTTGCTGATATACATCGTCTGGAGGAAACGTGAGACAAGAACTTTGACTAGTTTCTTGTTTGTCAATATGGCGATTGCCGATTTACTAATTGCGGTATTTCAGATGCCCTCCTCCATAGCGCACTTCTACGTCTCTGAATTCACTGGTGCGGTCGGGAAACTATTCTGCCGATTTGTAATCTATCTTGTGAATGTCTCCATGACAGCCTCGATCTTCAGCCTTGTCGTGATGGCATTCGATCGACATTTTGCTGTTATACACCCTTTGAAGCGAATGATTTGGTTCCGAAGAGCCAAAATTATTCTACCAGTCATTTGGATCGCATCCTGCACCTTAATGGCCATCACACCATTTTATCTCATGGTCAGGGATAGCCTTGGAAAATGCTTTTATACAGACGAACATATCCCGCGGGTGCCCTTTTGGACTTACCTACTGCTCATCAACTACATCATGCCTCTTGCCATCATCTCTTGCGCGAAAGATATGGTTCCACGAAATTCCTGGCCAACTTGAATCTTCCAGACTCCAGCCAGATGAGCATATTCCAAGAAAAAAAAAGTTGTTCGAACGCTCATTATTGTTGTGGTGGTTTTTGCGGTCTGCTGGTTTCCCATGCAAGTGCTTAACATTAACATTGCAGTGACAGCTGAAATAACTTGGCACCCCATTGCTATCTACTCTATCTATTGGCTTGGTCAAGCTAACAGTGCCATAAACCCTGGCTGTACATCGGTCTTAATGGCAAAATGAATGCAGCTTTCAAAACAATGATCCGATGCCACGGGCAGGAAAATACTTTGTTACACAGACCATCTACCGCGACTATACGTTCAAATACAGTTGTTACCATAGTATAAAATCCTCCAACGGCTAATGGTTGAGCTGATGAAAGCATTGCCTATGACATGTTTAGTTAAACGATTGCAGGCTTGAATGCACATGCTTCCTCGAAGATTAGATGAGGCAAGGGAGAAAGTGTATCAGGATCAGTAGAGGAAGGCGAGGCCATCAATTGAGTGCCGCGCCTCAACTGCTTCGGTTTATATCGACAAAATAGCTGAATATAGACTGAAACTTTAACTCCTTAGCTTGAAATAATGGGGCAGAAAATATCATTTCCAGTGCAGGTTATTTACTTCATGAACGGAAACAGCCCAAGAAGAAGTCATCACGGCTAAACAAGAAACAACACTGATTTGTTTTGACTGCTGTTGAAAATTTAATTTCTTATGCCTTTACTAGAAAGAAAGAACCGACGACATGGCTTTTGTTCTCTAGGTAATGACTAAATGTAAATAAACAAATTATATTAAGGATTTTATAATTATCATCAATGTCTGACAGTAATTACCTGATTTGAAATGCAGATTTCTTTTTTTTCTAAAGCCAACCGTGACGTTGAATGCAACGACCATTAATGATCGTTTTTCACGTAACAACGGATATCCTTAAGCTGATTGACTACTACAGCACTCTTTTCAAAATTTTCCCTTTTGTTACAGAAGACCATCGTTTAATAACGGTACTCAACTTAACGTGTTTATTTCCTTTTACTAACGATAATGTCAAAAAGTGTTTCAGTCTCAATTCTAACTTAATAACTCATAACTTAATATGAGTCAGCAGGGATGTTTTGATTGTATGGTTAAAACGTTACAGAAAGCTGACTAACCAGGACCACTTCGCCATCAACTGCTCGTTAGAAAGCAATATTATCTAGAACGGTTAGTTCGTACATTTTTAATTCTTATAGTTCTGGTTTTTCATTATAAAACTAATTTAGAGTTTTCGAAAAATGAAACAAATAGTATATTTTGTTCAAATTCACGCATACTTTTTATTGGGTGCTGTTTTTTAGGGTAAATTTCGCGGATGCTGCCTACCTGTATAAAACTTTAGTACATTGTGCGTTAAAAGTGCCTAAAATTAGGAATCTCGTGATATAAGCCTATAATCAAACAAATGTAAATCTGGTCGACTTCTTCCCCGTAGCGATAATGCCTTTTTTTTTGCTATTTACATAACATTGCTTTTTTCAAAAGCGTGGGGCAAAGGAAATAAACAAAATCTGTCGCAAAAAATGCATACTTTTTACCGAGTACTGCTTTTTAATTTTAGATTCGTGTATGCCAGGTTAGTCTGCATTTAAAAAAATCATTTCATTCAAAAAGTGAAAGAAACCAAATATTGTGGGTCAGCGCTGCCTCGGATGTAGGAAATTTGCGTTTACTTTTATTTATTGGCCAAAATTATCTATAGTGTTAAAGCCTTTGATTCCAGACTCATTTCTAAAATGTCACCCAGAATGTTTTTACGGTGATTTTACAACGTTACAGAAAAGCATTAACGGGGAATACTTTCGATCAATTAGCTGTGTTTTACCTACAAAAGCGACTGCAATGTTATCTTGCAAAGTTAGTGCTCATTTTTTTCGTATAGTTAGAAAGTAAAATGGAAGAAACTCATTATGCGTCAAAGGTGCCACGAATTAGAATTTCGTGACATGAGCCTGGCCAGACGATTGAAAATACGGCTTTCATCTTCCCTGAAGCGATAAAGCTCGTGTTTGCTTTACAAAGAAAGTGAAAAGAAAGTCCGAGAAACACATTTTCAAAATGCTAAAACCCTTGGTTCCTTGTCGAATGAAGGCTAATTCACACTCAACCGTGTGGTAATGACTTGTCATTTCTCACGATAGCACACGATTTGAAACATGAAATCTGCGGGTCTTATTTATTTATTTTTTTAATTTATCGTTAACGCTATTATTAGTCTCCACGTCGAAAATTCGTCTGCCAAAAATCCCTTAAGGTATCTCGCCACTGTCTTTTTAGACCGTTGCTAGGGCAGATTTAGCTGACTGTAATCGGTGGTTGTGCTTCTTAATTTTTAATACTAGTTTGGACAGAGTTCTTAGAACGAGATAGCAAGTCCAACGATAATGTAACCAGGGCACGCCTAAAGTCACATGACCCATAGCGAAAGAGTGAACGGTTTCCAAGAAGCAAACAGTTTTATGAATTTTTCAAAATCAGCACGTTTTACGCAAGAAATCAAGCATGCACTTTAATACGAACAATTAACACACAAAAAAGTGTCCCGTCCAACGGGATTTTTTTTTAGCATAAACTCCTTGTTTTATCTTCATCTTTCGAGATCTCTTGAAATCCATGCTTGCATTTTAAGCAAAACAACATTTCTTTCGATTACTCCAAAAAAACATGCTGCATCTTTTTATTGTCGAGAACAGTGCGCGTGTTCGTATGCAACGGAAGTAGTAAATTATGGCTGCTGATTGGATAAATATCATGTCATTGACAATTACGACCCCGAAAAGACTTCACTGTTGCTCACGTGCGCTTCATTTTTAACATGAATCTGAACAAGAAGGATAAGCTCCCCGTTTGCAACAAGTCCCTCCACACATATCAGAAAAGTTTTAAGGTAAGTATCGAATGAATATTGAATGTGCGTCTTTACTTTTAGCTTTTAATTTGGTAAAATACGCGTTAAAAAGGTAATCGTCTAATTTCGAACCCGAAATTTAGTTCGATTGAATGAATAAATGTCTTACGCTATAATTTTTTCGGAAAAATAGTTTTCGAAGCCATTTGTTTGATATATAGACCATCGCAGGCGTGCAGAGAGCTTTTCAAGGCTCCAGACAAACCTTTAATACTTACAGTTTGTGTCCAACCATCTTTTGCTGCCTGATTAAAAAATTTCCAACTCAGTGTTCGCTTTCAGAAAGAGTCTTTCGATGTATCAGCGACTCTCAGCCATGACTGCAGTTCTTTCGTTCTTTTTAGCGCTTTCCCTTTGCCGTCAAAGACTGTCAAATTGAAGCATTTCAAAGTCGACCTCGTCACTCTTCCCATAAAATTATTAATAGAAGGCAAAGGTAAATATCGCTATTTCTTACAAACTGATGTTGGGACCCCAAAAAATGTGTTACTCTCGCAGATGTAGCACCTGCCACGTGAGGATGTTGAATCGGGAGTAAAATTGCCGATTTGCATGGAGATAACGTAACTTGGAAACGACATATACTGTAGTGAAAGCCATTAATACCAGAATGAAAAATAAGAACAATAAACGTTAGGCATATTCTGAACCACTTGTTTTCTGGTTGTAAAAAGAATTATAGCACTTAAGTGCGATTTTTGTAAGAGCGGTCTAAGGCATTTCGCATTGGAAAAAAAGTTTTGCCTCAAACTTTGCATATTAAACTATCTTTGGTAGTAAGTAAATAAAACCACATTGGTTTCTGGAAATAGGTTTAAAAATTTTTGAGAGCTCTTAACAATCAAAGCTGCAAAGGGTTCTTTTTTGACCTCTTACGACATAATTTCCTTCGCTCTAGTGACTTCTAACTTTTGGCGATTTTGTTAGCATGACAGCAGAATTATGCAAATTAGTATGTTGGCAAACTCCGACCGTTTATTTTGTTCTCTTCATAAATCTAAGATTTTAACCATTTTAAAGAGAAAAGATACTAGGGAAGAGTTTTTATAACACGCTGATCGATTCTCTAAACATTTTAAACAGCTAAATTCTGGCAAATGACGGCTGATTCGGTCAACATGTTTATGAGAAACTTTTTAAAAAAATTGGTTTCTGTTCTTTTATATTTGAGTTCAGAGAGCTTAAGCTATTCAAACCTATATGAACATTTCAGAACCAAACTAAAGGATTTTATTTAGTGTTTAGTTTAAATAAGGCAGCGATAATGTGATTTTTTGCTCGGAATTCAAACCTAGCTCTTCCAGGCTGTCAACCGTGTTTGCCCTTGATGGGAGCAGAGAAATACAGGACTTCAGATCAGTGAGAGGAAATGTCCGAGATCCATTGCAAGGTTTCAGTGCGTGCAATGACAGCATAACTGACGCTATACAAAAGCTCTACTCTCATGCGTTCTAGTTCGTCTATGATTTGGAAAAAATCTTTAAAACCATCGGCACCCTCAGCTACATTATTTTCTAGACCCCGCACTGATCACCTCTGTGTCTTCTTGAACTTCTAAGAATCTCCTCGTGGTTGATTTACCTATCGGTTGAAATTCAGTTTCTTTGTATTGGCCATGTATAATTAATGATGGTACGCTTGGCTACGGTGCGCACGACATTAGGGGTGACAAACTCGTCACCGCTTTTAAGTTTGATGGTGCAAGTGCCTCACGCTACGTCTTGACAGCAGTATGGCCTCATTGTAAAATCTAAAAGTGGTTCAGCTGAAGCTGTTCCATACGGATTGTTTACCGCGGGACTTTTTCGATTAGCACTCCGGGCCCTTCAGTCTTCGCTTGTGTTCAGTGCCTTCTTTATTTGTTTTGTAAAGAGGTTTTCAAAGCGCGTTGACTGAGAATCTTTTAGCATAATACCGTAGGATTTTAAAGAGATCCTTCTGATAGGCGACGAGAGGGGTTTGAAGGCCAACATCGAAAGCTATCTAACACTTCTGCTGACTTACGACCGCTTGGAATAATGCTTTACCATCTCTTAGCGCCATTACATCGCACGCCCGCTGGCAAGCTTCTCTAACTTTTTGAACAAACTCAGATTCTGAGGAAAGGAGCATTTTTCCCATCAATCTACTTGGGATTCCAAGTGTGTAATCTTGGGCTTTTGTATAGCGTCGGCGATGCTGTCGTTGCACGAATTGAAACCTTTCCTACCACTGATGTGAATTTCTGCTGTCTCTACTCCCACCAAGAGCAAACATGGTTTGTAGTCCTGAATAACTAGGCTAGAATCCCAAGCATCGCTGCCTTATTTAGATGGACTAGTACATAATCGAATTACTGACTGAGACGCTCGTCGCGATGAATTTCAGTATGTGTTGTTAAAGACTACGTGCACTCCCTCCTTTTGAGCGAAGTTTAAAAAATCAAAGCTAAAAAAAAGCATCAGAGCTAAAAAAAGAAAAAAAGATATCAGCGCGCCGCCGAGAGCTCTTGGAAAGAGGCGCTAACATAAATTTTTTCCTCACTGATTTTTTTCGACCTGCGCCACGGACTTCGCCGAAAAAGAGAGACTGTTATTATCGCCGGTTACACTAAATAAAAATCCTGTAGTTTGTTTCTGAAATGTTCATACAAGTTTGAATAGCTTGAGCTCTCTAAACTCAAATATTAAAGAAAAAAACCAGTTTTTTCTAAAGTTTCTCATTACCACGTTGATCGAACGCTAAGTAGTAAGATATTCGATAGGTTTTGATCACCTTTTCCGTCACGAGACAGAATCATTTGCCAGAATTTAGCGTTTAAAATGTTAAGAGAATCAATCAGTTTGTTCTAAAAGCTCTTACCTACTATATCTTATTTTTAAAATGGTTAAAATCTAAGATTTATGAAGCTACCAGTATAAACGGTCGGAGTTGGTTCAACAGAATAATTTGAATAATTCTGCTGTCACGCCAGCAAAATTACCAAAAGTTTGTAGTCACTAAGGCGAAGGAAATTAATGAGCGCAAGATGTTTTTACATTTCTATGCTTTCCCACATCTTATTAGAAGAGATCAACCCTAGTTTTCAATAGTCTGGTCTGGACTAGAGAAATATAACCCAATTTCAGAAAGCTGCCTAACGGGTGTTTTTAAATCAATTATGGTGAACCTCTGAATAAACACATATCAGAATTTAAATGCTTTCCAAACTGCTTATGTATCACACAATTTACGAGTACAAACGATTTCTTGCTGCATGTAGTGTGTAACAAGGAGCGAGCTTGTCAACTTTAGAAATTTTCGATGTCGCAAGACATCAGAAAAGGCCTTTTGCAGCTTTGATTATTGAGAGCTCTCAAAATCTTTTTTTTTAGTATTTCCAGAAACCAATGAGATTTCATCTACTTACTACAAAAGATAGTTTAATGGGCAAAGTTTGAGGCAAAACTTTTTTCCGATGCGAAATGCCTTGGATCGCACTTACAGAGATCGCCTCTTAACTCAGTGTTAACTTAAATGTTTATAATTCTATACTATCGAGAGGTGTGGTCGTGTAGTTCACATAAACGTCAGCTGTAATGAACATGAACCGTCCTATTCACCCATGGAGATTACGCAAAGTATGAAAATATAAAAAGATTAAAATTGTTCATTCTATGATCGCTCCAAGGAAGCCAGGATCAGGGTTCTTATGAAAAACTCACAGAAAGCCACAATAGGAGTCATATTTCTTTTGTTTAATGAAATCCAAATTGGATAAAACTTCAATGAATACCGGATATAGCAAGCGTAGTTGAATAGTTGTTAATAGAGGATAATGAGCCTTTTGTGAAATTACTTCACCCAAGTGCAGAGCAGCAGTATGGATAACCATTTTCATACCATTATCAAAGCAGTATAACTTTGCAACATATGTTTATTTTGAAGTTTTTCTGTTTAAAAGAAAAGGGTATCGAGAGGTATTGCAGAACGGAGGGCTTTAAAATTTTTCTTACGCAAGAAATTACCTCAAAATTCCCTTTATGGCTACTAATTGTATGTGATATAAGGATATTACGATATTAATATTATACTTGTTACCGTTCTATGTAATTGTGTAAATAACTTTTCAATTAAGCAGCTCTTCAGAGGAACCGAAAGGCAATTGTAATGCTTAACTTCGATTTTAGCTGTCCATGAGTTTCTGTCTTTACTATTATTGTTGAGGTGATCGCATATGAAAAAAATAACGACAGTTATGAATCTCGAGAATTTCATGGTTATAATCGACAACATTAACTTCTCAATCGTTTCTTTCTCATTCCTTTCCATTTTGATATCAAGCTTTTTGTTAGACCTTTGTCAGAGCGAATGACGTTTCGTATGAATTTATTATCATGAGATGAATGTCGCACGCTCTTGTTTAAATTCTCAGTCGAATGAAGCGCCTTGTCTATCGATCACGTGATCAGCGTGCATATGACAGAATCGCCAGAGGATTGTCAATTGCAGTGTTATTGAGAGGATGACTATATGTCGATCAACATCGGAGTAATGGGGGATGGAACGTGCTATTGTGAATTGAGTGACTCAGACTATGTTTTACATCCTCGAGATCTCGAAAATCAGAAAGACATTATTTACAGATCAGTACAAGTGAGAATTTCTCGATTCAACTGACGGATCAATTTTTCTGTCAATCTTATTCCGTAAGGAATGCATTCAGATTAGTTTTAGAACTCTTTCGTTTCCGAAGGCCTGTAAGGATTAAAAATAAATCTAGAAAAATGAACGAACAATCCTCTCTCGAGAATTAACTCATAGAGCAAACACGAGTTCTAGTTACTATTTGTTTACAGTATTTTGTCATGAACAATCGAGCAAATCTGCTCGCGATCGAGGCATCGGTTTTGCATCACTGAAAGAACATAGATGCCACTGGTCTTCAAACAAGCAATGGCCAGTCTCAACCTCTTAGCGAGATTGTCGCTCGTGTGAGTTCAGTGGACTTTCTGATACAGAAACCTTCGATATGATAGAAGAACCCCCTCGTATGAAATGACGACTATTTTAGCCTCCTAATTGTAAACATACATGTGGTATCAAAAAAGCCCCTACATAGCCTACTCCGGTCTGCCACAACGGCAACATTTACTTCCAAGGGGCACATAACGTTGCTAATATCGGGATTTCAGTCGACTGAAACTTGAATGAAAAGTAGCTTATGGGTGTTAAAAGCATAATACAATTGTTGACTTGTAGAGAGCTCTGAACGCGACATTTATGCAATACCCAACTTAAATACGTCTTTTGATTGGAGGGCTGAACATGTCGCGAGTCGTGAATTAAAATACACTTACTTTCTCGGATAAACAAAATTCACTAAGCCCCCGGGGAAACAACGACTTGACTTTCGACTCTCACGTGATGCAATGCCCAAATTAAATACGTCTTTTGATTGGAGGGCTGAACATGTCGCGAGTCGTGAATCAAAATACACTTACCTTCTAGGATAAACAAAATTCACTTGGCCTCCGGGGAAACAACGACTTGACTTACAACTCTCACATGATAAGGTCGTTCTCCGTGAAACTGCAGCAAATATGTGTGCCAGCCTGCATATAAAAATTACTTTTTGCAGTCATTTTCGAGTTGGGATGTATGAGAAACACTTAAAAAAATTAAAATTGAAGTGACTGGCCCCACAGGAAGCAGTGAGGATTGCTTTACCTTGCCCTGCCAGGGCAACAAAACTCACTATATCCCTTGGAGTCGGTTATTAGTCACTTATTTTACCAACTTTGCCAGGTGTCTGCATTATAATTGTCTGGAAGCGAAAGTAAACACTATTAGTAGAGTAGCTAGAGGGCAAAAGATGAGAAAATAATTAGAGCAATAAATAAACTAAGTGATGAGAACACGAAACACGATTGTGTTGTTTTTCAAGGATTTGAGCGCTCCGACTTAGCCTCTTCCGATCACTTTTTCACGTCTGCTTCTAATTAGCTAAAAAAACTTTAGCCACACTGATCCATTGTACGGCTTGTTGAACATGATTGGTACTCTCAATGCGAATGAGACAAATCTAAATGTTTATCATTGTGGCTGGTGAATCTTTTGCTTCAGATATTGAAATCCGACATACTCTAATTTTAATGCATCTTGATACCTTTTCAAAGCGAAAACACACCTCAGATGAAGTATAGGTAAGCGATAATTTTAAATTTAAGGCACGATAGTACAACATTTTCAATACCGAAAATCTATTAAGCAAAAATTTAGGGATCTCGTCGCTCAAGAATTAGTTAAGAAAGTTTGTTTCTAAATACACCACATTAATCGCAGTCATTATTGAACAGCTGCCTCTACTGTGTACTGTGTAGTATGGTTGTGCATCTTACACATTTTTAAAGAGGAAACACACCTAAGGTGAAGTATAGGTAAGCGATAATTTTGAATTTCAGGCACGATGGTAACATTTTCAACACCGAAGATCTATTACGTAACAATTTAAGGATCTCGTCGTCGAAGAGTGTAGTAACAAAATTAGTCTTTAAATAGAGCCAATTGTTTGCAGCCATTCTTGACCAGCTGCCTCTTCTCTGTATTGTGTAGTATGGTTTTGCATCTTAACACATTTTCAAGGCGAAAACCTCCTCAGGTTAGGTTTAAGTAAGCGATAAATTTGGATTTCAGGCGCGATGGTAACATTTGAAACACCGAAGATCTATTATGTAAAAATTTAAGGATCTTGTCGTCTAAGATCTTATTAATAAAATTCGTTTGAAAACAGAGCACATTAATCGCAGTAAATGTTGGTCAGCTGCCTCCTTTCTGTACTCAGTGGTACGGTTTTTCTGCGGTTTTCAAGGTTCTTACATTCTCTTCCCTCAAATATGAGGTCATTCGGTTTTATCAACCGAGTTGACGATGTAAATTGGCCACCGTAAAGATTTGCTACATGTACCATTGTCTCAAATATGTCTGTTAACTCAGTTTAATCAATTTTTAATCAATGCGACCTACTAATATTAATTTTTTCATTTTGAACTGGGCAATATCAACATCTGCTTTAATAAAGATCCCAAACTAACGAGAAGCATCATATTGAATATGAAAGCGATTTCCGCAGTAATGAACATTACTTTACCAGTAGAGAAAAAAAGGCCTGACAAAAATTAAGGCCCGCACGAGATTTAAACCCATAACCTGTGCGACACCGATGCCGTGCTCTATCAACTGAACTAACAAGCCATCTGGGAGCTGGTCATTATGTTGGTTTATAATAAACCTGTGAAGTTGACAATAATCCGCAGTTCACTAGGATGATTTTCGTACATTCACAGTCATTGAAACATTGTTAACTGCTCTAGTGCTCAGCGGGACCATGAATTGTTTCCTGTTTTTTTTTTTTAATCTCTCTCATTCATACTTTAGAACTTGCCTGAAACGCCATTAGCGCTAATCATCGATTTATTGAAGAATGAGTCAGACATTATCATAACAGTGTCGGTAAGAATTGGAGATACTCTCTAGCTACGAAAGATCACAATCATTTTTCTTTTTATAATCCTCATAACATTTGTCAATCCTAAACCATCCTTGTTCATTCTCTTTGTTTGTTATCATCGTTTTAGATATCGAAAACCTCGCATGTTTACAATTTATGGTTTACTCTCATGGTGATAATTAAAAAAAAAAAACGAGTCAGTATCAGGCTGAACATGTTGAACTACAATGTTAAAATCAACACTGAAAATTTGTTCGTTTTTTTCACCCACAGAGCATGGAATTAACAACAGAACTGGGTTTTACCATAGCGTTTTCTATATTCATGATCTTGGCATTGTTTGGAAACCTGTTGCTGATATACATTGTCTGGAAGAAACCTGAAACGAGAGGTCTGACAAGTTTCTTGTTCGTCAATATGGCCGTGGCCGATCTACTAGTTGCAGTATTTCAGATTCCTATCTCCATGGCTCATTTTTACGCAACTAAAATGACTGGTGTAGCCGGTGACCTGTTCTGTAAGTTTTTTAACTACATTTTGCAAGTGTCGATGACAGCCTCCATTCTCAGTTTGGTCGTGATGGCATTTGATCGATACTTCGCTGTCATACACCCTTTGAGGCGAAAGATCTGGTTCCGAAGATCCAAGGTAATTCTACCTGTCATTTGGGTCCCATCCTGCACTTTAATGGCGGTAAATTTAGTCTCTTACGAGGCTCATTATGGGAAGTGCCTTTATACAGAGAAGCATATTTCAAGCGTTATCCTATTTACCTACTTACTGGTCATCAACTATGTCTTGCCTCTCGCCATCATTTCTGCCCTGTACACCAAAATTGCGAGGAAAATATGGTTCCACGAAATTCCTGGTCAAAACGAAATCTCTCGAAACCTGGCAGATGATCAGATTCCTAAAAGAAAAGTCCTCCGAACGCTCATCATCATTGTGGTTGTTTTTGCAGTCTGTTGGTTGCCCGCCCAAGTGCTCCAAATGGACTACGTGGTGACAGCAACAATAAGATGGCATCCTGCAGTCATCTATTTTTCCTCTTGGCTCAGTCAGGCTAACAGTGCTATTAATCCCTGGCTCTACATCCTGCTCAATGGTAAAATGAATGGAGCTTTTTGCAGAATGATCCGAGGCCAAAGTGTGAAAAGCAGGGCATCCAGCAGGACCAGCCAATCGACCACGGCCGTGAGCTTACTCAAAAATTCCTTTCTTGACAATTCTGTAGTTTAAGGGATCAGCGCAGCGCTCTACTGACTAAAACAATAGATGATTGGATTTAGCCTTAGGATGTATGTAGGTTTGCGTGATCGAGTTTTCCTCCTAGTAAATAGATCCATGCTGCAACAAGAAAGTACCTTGAGATTGGTAAGGTCACTAGATCAGTCCTACAAGAAAAAGTATTTAAGATCATCACATAACAAGTGTGAGGGATCTTGATGTTCCGCCATAAGATTACAGGTTTTCTTAAATGTATTACCCTTAAATAGTTAGCTGCCGCTGTGAACAGAGCTCCTAAAGACCATAAGGCAATGCCACGGTCATCAGATCTGGTCTATGGGACATTTTGTGAACAGTACACCACAATAATTAGCAGCCTTGATGTATACACTTGCATGAATGTATTTGCCCCAGATGTGTGTTCGTTGCCTTTATCTGCCAGTTCGGAAAAAAATATTAAAGTGAGTTTGTTAGTAGTCCTGGCAAAATCCTTCTATTTCTATGAAGTAAAAAACACAAGAGAACTCACATTTATCCAGTAGTAGATTGATGGTAAATAATGATATCTGTGCTTCTCACCGGAGAATCGCTTCATGGTAGAAGCGATTGCAGCTTGTGGTACGCCATTCAATCGTCACTTTTTGTTTTGAATTCATTGTGGGATCCAGCTGAAGTTGATAGCTAATCAATTTATGCGACAAGTTTTAATTCAGGTATGTGAGGCACCGAAGTACATGTTTTGTACACTGAGTACTTTTTATCAAAGAGGAAAATTTATTTCGATCTGGGTGATACTGGATAAAGAAAGAGAACGTACTAATCATGGAAAAGGTTAGAAAAAAGAGAAAATAGTAGAAAAGCATATCCTAATCAAGACACGTTAAGTCGTGGTGGGTGGCAATGTATAAATGCAGTTGCGAAAAGAATGTATCTCATTAGTTACGTTTTCCTCCATATTTTCTAAGTCTCCTTTCATAAACACGGCGGTAAAACGTCTACGCACCTGCGAATGTCGTAGAGGCTCTACGAAGTACTTTCAGAGTCTTCAAAACCAAGTTGTCTTTGAGATAACTACTCGAGCAAGCAAGTAGCGGCGTTCAAAAACCGTGTAAATTATTAGATAATGTTCAAAATAAGTGTTGTGAAAAATTGCATACGAAGTATCGAGTTTTCCTTTCTTCTTCCTTTTTTTTTATTTACAGATTAATATGAAAAGATAAATGTTTTTTTTTTTTTTTTTTTTTCGCATACCTGTGATAACACTTGGCGATTTAGAAGTTAAACTTGTGCGATTTATATATGTCAAAAGACTTTGATTCGGGGATTAATAAATCGGTAGTCGACAAATTTTGCTATTCAGTAGGTAACAATTATCTTATGCATAGAGAATAGGAACGGTTTAATGATTGTTCAACACTTGGCGCCTCAGATACAGCATACTGCATTTTGTCGAAATTTAAAAGAAATTTAACTTTCCAAATGCGACTGAAAGGCGACAATTTTTTAAAATCAAAATTGACCCACCACAGCGTTTGACTCTAATATAATCATTATACTATAATAAAAGCTAAGACTGACATATTTAAGTTCTCTCCGTAACACAATCAGTGAAAGGTAGAATCCTAATGGCGAGAAATATTTAATAAAAAGCAACAGTTAGAAGTGAGTTCCCAGGATTATGTTTCGGTCAATTCCATTTCAACAAAACAAATTATAGCTAGATAAAAACTCATCATAAAAAATGTTAATGGCGAGAAAAATTAAGTAAAAAAGCAATAGTTATAACCAAGCTCACAGGATTATGTTTACGTCAATCCATTTAATCGAGAACAAGATAGATTTGAACTTATCATAGGATTTTGTAACGAGGGAGAAAAAAGAGAATTAAAAAATAAATGGTAATCATCGTGTTGTGGTCTCACTTCAATACTTTGTATTCCTCCTGGTCTAGCATGAGTTCTAGTTGGCCATGTGGTGAGAGAGCTTTAGTTACAAATGGAAAGTCTTCAAACTCACAACTCAGACAACCAGGCTGTCTAATTTTCGTCCCATATTACCTTCAAGCTAATGCATTCTAATGGTAACCAAAACGTCAAATACGTAACATTTTGTGGTTTCAGATAAAAAAGCGTCACGTTGGTGGAAAAATCATTTTAACACATTGCCTTTTGAACAAGATTAGCGATTCGGTGGATTTGTTGTCGTCCGCACTGCTCCTTAAATTCGGAAACGGAGAATTAAGCCTTTAAAGACAGATTCGCTATTCTACACAACTCAAAGAAAAGGAAAAGCAATTTTGCTTCTCCACTTTCAACTGGTAAGTAATTTATTATTTATCGCTGACTGTTTTTCCGCCCCGAATATTGTACGATCATCATACGATTTCGCTAACATTATCTAAAAACCTAAATTGTGATATTTCTCAGAGAATGCAATTTTATTGCCCTTAAGATCTGTTCAAATATGATTTCAAACTAAGCCATCGGCTTTTGAGATCATGATCGTATATCTCTTAAATAATTCATATGAAAGGTTTAAAAACATAAACAAAAGGGGAATAAAATGTGTTAGCGGTCAATGATCGGAGGCACTGAGAGAAAAAAACCTCTGAAAGCAACATGCAAGTTCTACATTGATCAGAAATATCTTCAGTTTGAGAAAAGCTTCCAGAAATGAGCTAAAAATTAGTTAAACAGGAATATCGCGGAACTCTTTCAACTTCTTTCCATTAAGCTAATATTTTCAAGACTTATTCTTACAAATGAAGGCAACATCTGGGAGTTGAAATGCACGAAAATAATTTAAAGGTTTCGACCTTTTAGACTTAGGATTTAGTTCGAGGAAAAGGAACACTAATGGTTTTTAAATATTTTGGGTGCTCGTCTTTACGGTTAAAATAATTGGAAATCGTTTGAAAATACCTCTACGGCATTGGTTTAAATGAAACAATGAGAAAGAAGTTATAACATTATACCAATGGAAGCAGAGACAGGAGGATTGACTTCCCTGGTGGCGACTGGGGTCGAGTCCAGACCAACGACGCTAGGATAGGACGTAATGAGAGCAAAACTGTAGAAAAAGTTATCTGAGGTTGGGAAAACACCGTTGTTTAAATTTTTTGTTTTCCTCCTTCATTTAGAGAACATGGAATTTACCGCTGAAGTAGGGTTCACCATACTTTATTTCATAACAATGGTCGTGGCGTTGCTTGGTAACACGTTGCTGATATACATTGTGTGGAGAAAGCCTGAGACAAGAAGTCTGACAAGTTTCTTGTTCGTTAACATGGCAGTGGCTGATCTAATGGTTGTTGTTTTTCAGATGCCAATTAACTTCGTTAATCTGCATGTATCAGAAATTCCCTCCGAGGTCGGTTACTTTTCGTGCAGATTCCTTTACTACCTCGCCAACATTACGATGACGGCGTCCATCTTTAGTCTTGTTGTCATGGCATTTGATCGATACTTTGCCGTTGCACATCCTTTTAGGCAAAGCATTTGGTTCAGGAAAGCCAAACTAAGTATTCCGTTCATATGGATCTCATCAGTAGCTTTGATGGCGATCACTCCTTTTGCCTTTAAGCTGGAGAATGGACGGTGCTATTTTGCAGAGGACGAGATGCTTCCACTGGCCTTCTGGACGTATCTCCTTCTTATCAGTTACATACTTCCTCTCGCTGTCATCTCTGTTCTGTACTTCGCAATTACCCGTAGAGTATGGTTTCACGAAATTCCTGGGCAACAAGAAAGCATTCGAGACCAGCTACAGGGTCAAATCCCAAAGAAGAGAGTCATCCGAACGCTCATCATCATAGTGGTGGTGTTTGCTCTTTGCTGGCTTCCCCTTCAAGTATTCCAAATGGACTTCGCGGTGCGAAACATGCTCACGGACTGGCATCCCATTTCTATCTACTTCTCTTATTGGCTCAGTCAGGCTAACAGTGGAATAAATCCCTGGTTATATATCGGCCTGAATGGAAAAATGAAGGCAGCCTTCAGCAAAATGATTCGATGCCGCCAAGGAGAGAGCGGTCGGAGATACAAGGCATCCACTTCAACTTTACCTCGTGAGTCAGCAGGAAGCACACGTTTGTAGTCCAAGTTGTGAAACCAGTTCGAAACCTGCAGAATCAAGTCAAGCCTAGTGTAGATAGCGTTATAAATGCTAAGTTGTGTATGCACTAAAGAGGGTTTCGAGCTGAAGTCACCATATTGCAATAGGTGCTAAAAGCTACAGTAAATTACGGCATAGATATAATCAAATTTATCTGATATGGAAAATCACCTTTAGCTTCTGTAAGATCTAAGCGCTTTTTCATCAGTTTTAGAATTATTTATTTTTTCTTTTCTTTTCTCATAACGCCTTGTTAGTGTTTTTTGTTCAGTTTGTTCGATTTTTCGTCAGTTACACTTTCACTTTTGCACGCTTTCATACCACACGTAATTACCCCAGTCCTCTTTTCATTTGCATGAGGACCTATAAACCCAGTTTCTTTTTTTCTCCATGAGTTTCTTCCGAAGTCATACTAAGCGCGGTTTTCTGATTAAGAAGTCTCTGTCATTTTTATTTGCAGTTGCAGTTATTTTTAGGCGTTATTAATTTTAGTATTTTTCCGTTTCATTTTGTTTGTATTTTTTTATTGTTGTAATTTTTTTTCCATCCTATGTGAGTTACCTTTTCTCCACCTTTTTTAGCTGCAGCTTGTTATCCCCTTAGCTCGTTTAGGTTTAATAAAGTCAGTCATAGAGTGTAGTCGGGTGTCTTGTCTTCGCCTCAGTCCATTAAAACACGCTCAAAAAAGAACTCGACCAGTATACCGCCATCCTAATCTCATACTTCGTCAATAATGCACGAGAAGTGGGGAATATAGATCTTTGCCGCCATATGTTAATGCAAAAGCTTGTTTACCATCGCAAATTTCTCTCATCCTTAAAGCTGTGATTGAAATCTTTTCCCTGTATTCAACAGGATCAAGCGTTTCTTTTGGACATATTAGGCAAAGTATGTCAAAATGAAGCCTATGTTACAAATAAAGCCTAAAACAGGAGAAGCTGGTAAAAAAAAAAAAAAAAACAAAACAAAACAAAATCTCATTAAGCGGCTGCAGACCCCAAGTGGATACGGACATGACAGGTAATAGGCATTTCATCTACAGAATTAAACTGAAAGTATCTTTTCTTACTTAAGGGATGACCACCTTTAAGTAGTTATAACATCATACAATATCCCTACCTGTTACGCATCCATTATCGTGAGTGGTTTTACAGCCAAAGGTACATATAACAGGTCATTGAGACTGGGGTAAGTAGCCTCACACCTGGTGAGAAAATAAAAACGGTTTAATTTCACACTTTTAAAAGTATTTTGATGATGTAATGATAAAAAAGAGACATTCGCTTTTAGCTTATGTCATAAATCAGAACGTGTCCTTGATAACCGGCCGGTATGATAGACATTGTGCAGGTTTTCTGTGGTTCCAGATATTTTCAAAATTCGTACTGCATTTTTAACAGAACACAATTTTAAATCGGTCAAATCATGAGGTGAGATGCATTACGTGTATTTGGAGGGGTTGTCGACTCTTTTCACAGACTAACTTTGTATGATACTACAAATCTTGGCCCAACTACTTTGCTTTTTAGGACGCTGTTTCGCAATTTTGGTCAGAGAGGATGTTGAGGAAAATTTGCCTGTGAATAGATGAAATAACAGCTTGCTGGAGGAGATCAGTGATACAAAAGAGCCGTACGGATTGCAAATGACGAACTCGTACAACTTTGGCCGACTTTAAAGTTACTTATCACGTTTACATACCTCGAGGGTCCTCTTGCTTTTCATTGTCCTCCCGAAATAAACCTTGTTTAGATTTCTTTTCAGGCCGGGCAGGTTTTCTCTGTTGCAGTATTCCCATCACATTGAAATATAATTTTAAGTAAGAGCAGCCTCGTCCATCAAATTTAAACTTGAATGTGTCGTTTACACCTTAAGATAACCAGTCCCGGACACATGTATAACTAAACCGGAGATTACTTTTACAAAGCTCGATGGGATTGTTTATCATGAATATCGGGGGAAAAATAGAAAGATGAGGGAAACCAAACCTTGTTGGTCAGTTCTTAATGGAACATTTAGCTTGCACTGTAAGTCCGTTGACAGTGGGCAAACTCCAGAAAATTTTCGGCCGCCATGTTGGATTTTTTAAGGCGGTGGGAAGTTGGCGAGAGGAACCAATTTCTACCAAGGGGGTGTTCCAGGATGAGATGAAGGGGGGAGATTGCTCACCTATGCACGTAAAACTTTGGGCAGTTCACACGGAGTAGATAGCTTGGTTATAATGGAAAAGACTCGATCTGACAAAACACATCAATTAAATCAACATTTGCAGCACGCTAATTAAATTGACGTGTATTCTGGAAGATAACTTGACTGTATTTTATTGAGTGCTGGATGTGAGATATAAAAGTGGACGACTTCATTGAACAAACCCTACAGATTCTCAAACTGTTGATTGTTAATTGTAAATTGTCTTCGACTACGGAAAAACAAGAGTATGCTGCACACGTAAATACATAGAAAACGCGAGAAGGTTGCGTTGCGTTTTGAAACGTAAGGAAGGGGGAGATGGGAGGAGGGAAAGGAGGCTCATTAGACATCGAGCTATATATTAACTCCACCTTAAATTTACAAATTTGCTTTTGTTTCATTCGTTGGCTCAAGCAAATCTCTATGCAGTGTTCACATTGCCCAAAGTATCCGTGATCGACTTCCGACATGGGGACTCATTTTTTGCTTTCTCCATCGCTCGTGAAACGACTAATATAGGCCATATACATCCCTCTATGCATAAGAGGGTGGTTCGTAAAAATTCACTGAACACATCATTATGTCCGCCGCCTATAGGGGATCGAGTGGCTTTAGGGCAGCTCTGCTTTTCCTTTAATTATATTATCTAATTATTAAACCGATTCATCGTGCTGAAAATTTGTAAACTTTTCCTAAATTGGAGAATTAAATTTTGCTTGTTAAACTAAACATAGTGTTTGGGTGATGCCATAATGCTGTGATCTACCACTAAAAATTCCTTACTAGTATATCATGAAAATCTCCAGCCACAGGAAATAGCAATACCTTGCTCATTGCAAAAATCTTCTATAAAATTCCTAGATTCGCAACTGCAATGATGAAACATCATAAATGTTTTCGTCGACTGAATCCTAAGCAACAGTACCGCTTCACTCGTCCAGGCTTTTGCGAAATCTTTCATTCGTAATTCGACATAAGCATACTGATCTTATGTGGGGTGAATCATTTATTAATCACTAAGTGCAAGAGATATTTTAAACTGCAGTTTATGATATCTTGCTATGTGATGATGATATCTACTCTCAAGCTAGTCCACAAAGCTGTTGTTACAATAGTTCAGTGGGGCAGGTAACCGAGATCCTGGCCAAACCAAAGAACTTTTCCTGCTATGTAAGTTTTTGCTAGTGGGAAAACAATGACAGAATACTTTCTGTACAACTCAAATAAGGGGGTAGCACTGCATCCCAGTGCAGACCAAAGTATCGGGAGTTTGTCAAAGTGGCAAAAATAACAACCTTAGCAAAAACGCTTCGGGAGTACTTGTCGGTAATAGCTACACAGTTATGGCCAACAGGTCTGCAGTCACAGAGTGCAAGCAGGCCGAACTTTTCTCTGTATCATAAACGTACATCTTTGAATCTGGGTCTTTCGTGAGCGCCACGTCATAAAAACAGCGCCACAGTTTTCCAACTTGATTAAATTTTCTGTCAAATAAGGCCATTAGGGTCGTACCACATGCACTTTCCGGGTTACTGGGATATCTTTCGTTACAGAATTGATCCCTTTTTGCCTGTATTACAGCGTCTAAAAAAAGAAATACCACTTCATTTTAAAGATTTTGCGTACCCTTAAGAGTACGTCGAGAGAAATCTGAGATCACATTGGGTTAATTCACTTCGTCTTTTGATTGGAAACTCAGGCGACCTTCTCAACCAATTAGCTGCAATTCTACAGCCGTTAGTGACTTGATAACTTACGAATTCGCACACTTCAAGCTCTTTACTTGTTTTTAAATTGAATTCTTACCACCATATTTTGATACCAATCTACTGCCCTCTAGATGTCGTATAATTGATGCCTTCCCCCTAATTTTTGCTATCATAGTCCAAAGTGAACCGTATAACCTTGGTCTCTGTTGGTTTACAGTTAAAATATTATTTAAAAAAAAATGAAAAAAGTAATCGCTTTGTAGAACTATCACGCAGATCTCATTCCCACCTGCCAATGAACATGACGAGGGCGTGACAACTTCCATATTTCCATAAAAGTTCTTCCTAAAGTTATACCAAGCAACTGCATCTCCATTCCATGCTCCACACCCTCTGTACATCTCTTTTATCTGTTCACCAGATTGCGCAAAGCTCCATACATTCACCCTACTCATCGTCCCTTCAAAAGACTGAGCAGTTTGAAAGGAACCGCCTTGAGAGTGACCAAAACATAAAATGTCGTGAGTTGAATTAAACTTACATTTTGATTGGTTCATAGAGGAGAAACGCAAATATGAAGTTACCAGCAAAAACTTCTGTTCATTCATTCATCAGTGATACACTTTTTTGCTCTTGCAATAGCCACATTTTAACGTCATCTGTGATCTATTACTGAACACATGTACGGCAAGTTAGATTTTATTGACACAATCATAAGAAAGAAAAGCTGAAATACCATGAGAATCTTGCTCTTGGCCAAGAATGAACTTCCCATTCCCGTCGACAATCAGTCCGGTTGCGTAATTATCGTTGCACCTGACAGAAACGCCATTGTGATACACACAAAACTTTCCATTTGAGTTTTTCCAGGTCATGCAAACATGATGCCAGCCATTGTCGTGCAAAGGATTACTTAAAAATGTTTCTCTAAACAAGGAACACGGGGAACAGAATTATTAACGCTCAAATGTACCATCAATCTTCATATAACTTATCATATTTCGAACTGGTGACAACCATTTCAAGCTTAGCTACTCCTGAAGAGTCTACCAGTTTCTTTAATACTTATAAAAAAATTCGACACTCGAAAGATGAGTAGGTTGTGTCGGGAAATCAGTTAACTATTTTGCTTCATGTACAGTATATTCCTCCAGATTTCCGGTTTATCTCTCTTTAATAACCTTCGAGCGTTTCCAATCCATTTATTAAGATGCATGCAGTGTACAAAGGACTTTACTCAAAATACACCGACAAAACTCTTCACCCTACTGAATTTTATTCCCATGGAAGTTTTGGTGCCCACTCTTTCGCATTGTTACCCATGAAAAATATGATCCGTAACTAATAACTATCAATACAAACAGGTTGTCGGCTCATTTCGTCAGGGTGACTACAAGCAATCTGAGGATAAGTATGGAAGACATTCAGGCTTGGATAAATTTGAATGACAGTGATATCAGGGGTTAAACTAAGGAACGCGTCCTCAAGCTTAGGAAAACAAGCTATGAGAGATTTAAGACTTTAATAGATTTAAGGCTGTAATACAACAGCAGAAACAAAACACAGGGCCTTCTGCTTTTAGCCAGCGAGAAATTTTTGAACATTTCAGCCGTGACTTGTGATCGGTGACTCGTGGATTTGAACCGCAGACACAATGATAACATTTGAGCTTAAGTATCTGGTTAACCCACTAAGTTGAGTGTTTGAGAACTCAAGCCAATCAACTGTAATTGTAGACTACGGAATTACTCGCTTATTCCTTTTCATGAAACTACCTTACTCTCGACAAGCAAATATCACCTTAGCTATTAAAAAAAAAAAAAAAAATTAACAACATCAAAACATTGAACGTGTTTAATAAGGGGCATTGGAAGAGTGACCACAATCAGAATCAATTTTTGTTCCCTTTTACCGTTACCGTATGCGTCCTTTCACTAACTGTTTTGGATGTTAAGTATGATCAAGACTCCTGTGTGACGTTTATCATTTGTTACTTACTTCCAACCGCCTGTGGCGATTATGGTCCATAGCTTCGCTTCTGAAGTTACATAGCCCAGTGCGAGGGCTTCATTGTTTGCAGAGCTGGCTGAATAGCTGAAAAAATAGTGGATGTTTTCGGCAGAACTCGAAAACATTCCCCAAACACAGGCAGTCAATGCCGTAAGTGACGGCATTGAAGTGTACTCAGCATAGTTTGCAGTCGATTTGGAATTGAATTTCAAATCAAAATCACTCTCTTTGGCTGGAAAAAAGAGACAAGAATCATTAGCAAACACAGTTATAAATAATGAAAAATCATCAGTTTAAATCACTGTTTAAGAAAAGAAAAGAAAGAAAGGAAAGAAAAAAAAAAAGAAACAGAACAAACGTGATTATTTGTATCAATCAGTGTTAATATGAAACGATTGAGGAAATTTCAACCTTTCCAGTCGGATCAAATCGGATCTTGACGAGTCTTACTCGGCAAAAGAGGCTGACCCCGACTTGAATAAACTTCCTTCTCATAAACGCTTACAAACTTTTTACTTTAAAAGGGTTCCTTTCATGGTGAGTCAACCTAGATTGCAAACCGACCAGGCTAACATAAAGAGGCACTTGGAGCCGAGACTCAGACTCATTCCTACCTGACAATGAACAAGTTGAAGGAGTAACGACATCTATATTTCCATAAAGGTTGCTCTTGAAATTATACCAAGCAACTGCATTTCCATTCCCGGATGATCCACACCCTGTGGACATCTCTGCTATCTTGACGTCAGTCATCACAAAGCTCCAAACATTTACTCCGCTAATCCTTCCTTCAAAAGACTGATATTCTTGAAAGGATCCTCCTTTAAGAAGAAAGAAGAAAAAAAAAAAAGGATTTTTTAATTCTGATTGCTTTAGTCTATCACCCACGACACAATAACTCGATACCATGCCTATGAGTGCAATACCGGGGTCATAGTAAAATGATTACGAGAGAAAAGCTGGAGTACCGAAAGAGTCCTGCTCTTGGCCGAGAATGAAGTTCCCATTTCCTTCAACAGTTTCACCGGTGGCATAGCCAGTAAAGCACTTGATCTTGATTCCGTCAGAAAAAACACATCTCGTTCCATCCAAATTTGTCCATGTCATGCAAACATGGTGCCAGACATTGTCATGCAACGGACTTCTTAATGTAGCAGATCTAAATGAAGAGGATAAGAAAAGGAATTTATTTCTGTCATTTCTTATTATAGGAATGCTCATTATCTATCACCAGAGGCAGAGGATTGTGGGATGGGATCACATGACAAATGATATTCAGGGGGAACGGAGGGGGGGGGGGCGCGGAAAATCAGTCATCGATTAATAGCCAATGAGGGGGAAGGGGGAAATCATGCAATGTTACAGAGAGTTACAAGGGGGGTGAGAGAAATCAAGTAAAAAATTATATCGTGACATAGTCAAAATTCTCCAGCCCCCCCCCCCTCCCAGGAGATAAGTTATGACAGGTTCATGAGTCTGATTAGATGATGCTTCCTATGACGACTATTTTTGTTTCCTCATCAGATTCATTAAAAAAAATTGAACAAATGTTTGATTGCGTTGTCACCAGAAGTCTCTCCAGTCAGCAGACTTAGAGTTACTTTCCCTAAGCAGTGCTTCTACCTAATGGGAAACAGAAAACTGTCTGGGATACCTGACGAGTTGCTGGTGGAGGGGAGGGGAGGGGAGGGGTGGAGTGGGTTTGGGCTACCCTGAGGCGGATTAGCTTCGCATTCATGGGATAGTAGCAATACTTCAGTTCACTTCATGCGACTAAATTGATTGATTTCCAAAATAAACTTTCTTCTACCCCATTGCCTCGATCAAGAATGCTAATTGATGGAAAAGAGACTTAGGTTAAAAAAGAGGATTGGGACAAAGGGCGTTATAACTACATTGATATATTGCTGATGCAGTTTTTCAATAGTGGACCCACCGTCACTTACTTCCAACCAGTTGACAAGATGTTAGTAACGATTCTCTTATCTCCAACGTGATAGCCCAAGACAATGCCTTCATTTCTGGACCTGGTAGCAAAGCTGAAGAAATAATTGTACCCCGTAGTAGAACTTGACAGCTTTCCCCAGGCACAGGTAGTCAATTCAGTTAACGACAGCGTGGAAGCGTACTCCGCATAGTTAGCAGTGGACTTGGATTGAAATACTAAATCAAAATCACTCCCTTTTTCTAAAACTAAAAGAAATTTAAAACCAACAGAAATTAGTAAGGAAGTCAGTTGATAGACAGATAGACAGACAGAAAGATAGACAGATAGACAGACAGACGGACAGACATAAAGATAGACAGACAGATAGACAGATAGACAGACAGACGGACAAACAGAAAGATAGACAGACAGACAGAAAGACAGCCATACAAACAAACAGATCGTCAGAGAGAAAGAAAGACAGACAGACAAGCAAGCACATAGATATAGGCAATTTGCCGCGAGACCTTACCTTAGTCCATAGCTACGACCTAAACTGGAAAGCATAAATTCTGTCATCATTTGCACGCCGTCAATGAGCATAAAAGGAGATGTCTAAAGCACTGAGGAGCTCTTAAATCGCAGACATGTTATAAAAGTTTACTCTCTAGAATTTAATATTCCATTTGTTACCCAACAGAGGGCAGGCCTCAAAGAGGACTCTAACTAACTGTTTCCCCCAAAGTCTCTGTAAAACTAGATTAACAATTTACAAATATTGACGTTCTCGTTCAATTAGGACGATCTTACCTGTGAACGGAATGGTGGACACGTTTTCAACTGATATGTTGCCATGAATCGGTGCATTTCGTATGTTTCTCCAAGAGATTAGGTCCCCAATCTCTGCACCTGGACTTCTAAATAATGCAACTATCACATTCTCATTGAGCACTCTACTCCACAAGTTAAATTTTGCCAGCTTCCCACGGAAGCTGTATTCAGGTTCATAGTCTCCGTCTATCGATTTCAGGCGCTGCCCGATGCGTATACTTCCCCCGCCAGGGATGCCAACGCCGACTTTGTGTTGCGGTAGGGCGCTTGTCAAGATACCATCCTGGAAAAACTGCAGTTTACCGTCCTCGTTTGTCCATGTGATACTTACGTGATGCCAAAGATCATCGACTGTTAATGGTATCTTGTGGCCGTAAGGGGATTCACTAAAAAGAAAAAATTACATTTGAGTTCAAATCACGTTCGTTCGTTCTGGGTTGACAAACAAAGAGATAGTTGGGACAAGACAGACAGACTGACTGATTAAAAGGTGATAAGAGGGGGGGGGGGGGGGGTTTTATAAGATGATTTGGTTTCATCAGCTGATTTGATAATGTAAATTGGCAACCGTAAAGTTTTCATAAATTGACATGCCGAACATAAGCTCATCGTCAGAACGAATACAGGAATTGTAGGTTGCATGTGTTTTACAAGAAGAAAATGGACCTACGCTTTTGTTGGGACATTGATATGCAGGCAGCCTAACATACATACACACATTTCGAAAGATCGATAGACAGACAAATAGACAGATAGGGAGACCGAAAGAGAGACGAACAGACGAACGAAAGGCAGGGAAGGCAAACCGAAAGGGCGGACAGACCGGCGAACAGAAAGACGAACAGAGAGACAACAAGATAGACAAACAGACAAGCACATGGATGAATGATCACCTTGACAACCGAAGTAACACTAAACTAACTAGTTTCTTAAAAAACAGAAACTCTTAACGTATTAACTACATACCTATTTAGAGTCATAATACGTAAGTTCAGTGCTCCTTGTGCGTGACCTCGATAAAGGAAGAGTGCTTGTAAAATGTCTGCCGTCGAGTACGAAAAAATTGCTTGAGCCACACCACCGTCATAGCTTCGCTTCATCCAAAAGGAAACAGTAAACTTTGTCAAAAACGGCAACGTGCCGGCGTCTATGAAGTTGCTAATTTTTCGTTCAGGGAAATCCAAGACGAATTGACTTTCATTAACTGAAATAAAATCAAAAAGCTAGTTCATTCAACAAGTTTTCTAAAATCAATATGACTGTCAAATCATTGCTACAACCTTTATCTGGTGCTAAGAAAAAAAAATAGGAATATCTCTGGGTTACAACACTCCACGGATTTACCAGTAACGCTGCATACGACGTGAACAAGGTAGAATTAAGACTAAAAGATCAGAAAGCTGAGAAACACGTTAACACAACATAGAATTAAAATAGAACAACGACTAACCATTACAAAAACTGCTTTGAAGTGAGATGATTGTAGCACTCCCATGAATACCATGCCGAAACATTCTCCAGTCTATTACATTCCCTAATTCTTGATTGCATGACGTCGACTTTTTCTCCAAATCATTGTTGTTCATTTTTCTGTCCCACATGTTAAAGGACGCTATTTTTCCAATAAATGATTCCTCTATAAGATATCCCCCGCCATACTCCTTCTGATGCTGACCGACAACTAGTTTCCCAGGGCTTATGGTTTGGGACTTGCCCCAAGCGCCTTCGTAAGAGATGAGAACTCCATCGACGAGAAAATCCCAGCGACCGTCAATGTTCTCCCAGCTCACACAAATATGGTGCCATAGTCCGTCATTGATGGGAAGCATGAAGAAACTCCTCGAAATAGAAAGATGTTATTCGGATTTTGTTACCATTAAATCACAATTGGAAATAATTTAATCAAAAGTGCTGGTATGTACCATCTGCAGACAGCAGACGGCAGACCGTTGGGTACTAAATGCTGACTGCCGACTGTTCACAGCTGACTGCTCCCTGCTGTTTGCTGACTGTCGACTATCGTCCATCGACTGCCACTTAACGACTGCCGACTGACGACTGCCAGCTGCCACCTAACTCCTGTTACCTGCTGAATATTGAATGCTGATTGTTGACTACTTTTACCGCCTGTTTACAGCTGAGTACTGGCTAGTGAATGCTCATGGTTGCTTCAAGGCGACTACTAACGGCTGGCAGTAGATGGCTAACTGCTAGCTGCTGACCGCCACATGCCAATTGCTCCCACCAAACGACGCATTTATTAACGCTTATTACTCACAGCTACCTACAGCTCTTTCCTGACTTTACACTTAGAGAAAGATGTTTTTCGACTCGTCACGAGCGTAAGACAAAGAAAAATTCTGAGTCCCCATGAGGAATCGAGCCTCAGACTTTCGGATTCCGTGCTCCGATGCTCTACCAGAGCCAAAGAGAGTCTCAGGTGAGCAAGGCCCATTACGAAGTTCATATATGACACGCGTCCTGCATACTGCTAAGATAAGCAAACTCGATAGTGTCATGTTTTATGAATAGAACGAGAAAGATGGCAAGTTTTATGCTCGGTAAAGAAAAAGAGAAAGATGTTTTTCTTCTTGCTATGGGTGTGAGTCGAAGAAAAAACTCCGAGTCCCCATGACGAATCGACCGCAGACCTTCGGATTCTGCGCCCCGATGTTTTACAACTGAGCCCTGGAACTCACCAACTTACCATCTTTCTTATTCTGTATAATTCATACTGCCTGCTGACTGCTGCTTATCATAGAAGCCAAAAAAAAAAAACTAACAAAAATAAGAAACAAACCTACTTGCTGTTATCATTGATAAGTACAAAATTACACTTATCCATAGTCTCTGTACATCTTAGTTTCAAGTCGCTCTTTCCATTTGGACTTATGTGAGAAAAGATGGTACTCCAGCCAGAGGATTCATTTACATTTATCCAAAAACTCAGAGAAAACTGCGGCAAGCTTTCAGCAATTTCAGTTTCAAAGTAATCTGTGGTGCTTTCTTGGGAGAAGAAAACTTCGTAATCTTCAGCGGTTTCTAGGATAGTTTACAAACAAAATATTAAAGCAAATGTAGAAAACGATTCTTCAAACCTTCATCAGTATCGGGGGTAAGTTCCTAAAGAAACTGTTGTGCTGCGTCGATGGGAGAGTATAACAAGGTAATTTGGTTTTATCAGCTGAGTTGATCACGTAAATTGGCCACAGTTTCAAAGAGTTTCAAAGCCGACATTGCGAAATTTATCCCTTCGCGAAGGGCTAACGCTCGAAACGTCAGCTTTGAAACTCTTTATAGTGGTTAATTACGATATGAACTCAGTCGATAATGCTAAATTACCCTGTTTCAGCTTTAAAACTGTCAATAATTTGCACGACAATTATATATATTGCTAAATGTTCCTAATTGGACCATTCACTATGCATGGTTGAGGTATTAATTATAAAGGTGCAGAAAAGAGTATCTCTAAAATTGTGTGCTGGATTTTTCCACCGATTGGTCTAGACCTTTATGTACTCCTATATACCGCTTTGTTTTCAGACGAATGTCCCTCTCATTTAGACAGAATCAAGACAGGAAATTACAACCTTTCAACTCTTATGGTAATTAAAAAGGTCTTGAAAACCCAATACATGTCTTGATGGCTTAGAATGCAGGAAAAAGAAACGTTTCAGTTAATGATTGGGCAAATAAATTACCTTTTCTTTTGAATTAACGATAGAAATATTTTCAAGGATTAGTTCAATATTGTTCGATAATTTAGTTCTTTATAATTCGTAAATTCCTTGTTGTTTGCTCCTGATTTAAAGTGATACCCTTCCACTACAGAATATCCCACTTATGTAGAATAACCTCTAAATAAACGGGATTATTTTTTTTGGAAACTTTTTAAGATTCCGATGGAACCTTTTTAGTTGCTGTGGCATGTACATTTTACGAGTTACTGTCATTTCTCTTAATTTAAAATTTACTACAGCTATTGTCTGATGCATATCTTGTGTATCTCCATTCTATTTAAAATTCTTCATATATGCCGTGACTATTTATGTTTCGGTTGAATTCGATAATTGATGCCACTTTGTGACGTCTAGCATGTAGAAATTTGATCTCATAGACTGTTAATCCCCTACATTTCTCTACTCAGTTGGTGATCAATTGAGAAGTTCTTTGCCATAAGTTATGGAAGAAACAGGGCATTCACCCCTCCCCTGTCAGTATTTTAGGACTCCGTCACCCCTCCTTTCCCTCCCCACCCTGGCTTCCTTTGCTTACTTACCGCTCCAACTCTGGCAGTTTTCTCCGACTCTGCCGTCAATACAGATGCACCGGTACTCAGCCTCTTTTGAACAGGAGTCCACGCATGTTCCATTATTCAGACAAGGTGAAGACTGGCATACAACAGAACCCTAAAAAATCGTTGGGTCCAATGCAACAAATAGGAATAAGATTGAGGAGTTAGTTGATCCAATTTTTTAGATTTTAAAAGTTTGTACTGAGATTTGTTTTGGTATAAGAGTGTTGGGCGATGCTCTTTAATGACTCCTTAAGTATTCCTGGTTTCAATACGGCATGATGGTTTTTTTTTTTTTAACAAATTCACTGAGGTTTTAAGCTTTATCAGGAAAAAGACCACAATAAATTGATTTTCTGACACATTTTTGCTCGGCAGCTTTCTTTTCCTTGTAGAGAATCACTAGATTTCTAATTTTTTTTTTTCTGTACGACATACGAGTGGTTTTAATTCTTATTTGGAACATCTTCACATATGGGACTCTCACTATCGTTTATGCTATAATTTATTAAAATACAGTAACTATGGTCCAACCACTTAACGCCTGTTTATCTAACTTAAAGAACGCTGAGGGGATGTCCCTCTCAAGGACACCAAGGAAATTCCTTAAAGACGATTGAAATATTCCTCGAAATTCCTCATACATGATTTTATTCGTTGGTAAGGGGTTCCAAAAGATGGTAGAACAAGATATTAATTCGTTTAACGTCATTGGAAAAAGAAATATGTCAGTTGAAATCATAATAATTGTTATGTTATGTTATGTTATGTTATGTTATGTTATGTTATGTTATGTTATGTTATGTTATGTTATGTTATGTTATGTTATTGTTATGCTATGTTATGTTATGTTATGTTATGTTATGTTATGTTATGTTATGTTATGTTATGTTATGTTATGTTATGCTATGTTATGTTATGTTATGTTGTTATGTTATGTCATGTTATGTTATATTGTTATGTTTTGTTATGTTATGTTATGTCAAGGGAAATAGGGAAATATATGGATTTAAAATTTGTACAAAAAAATAAAATCTAGTTGTAGTTAGAGAAAATTCTAATTGTAGAACAATAGTACAAAATTGTCATCTAAATGTAAAGAAATCTGATAGTATTTTAAAAAAATTTTAAAAAGAAAAGAAAATAAATAAATAAAAATAAAAATAAATGAAAAATAAGATATTGAAATATAAATATATATATATATATATATATATATATTCAGTTAGTGACATAAATATTCACGAGATATTGACTATGAGCTGACCTTGTCCATATCAAAGACATTCATTAAAAGAGACATACAAATTCTCATACAAATTCTTCAAATTCAGATTACTTACTCTTTTTTCATAGTAAGAAAATCCCTCCTTGTTTGTAAAATTATCTGGTTTATTTCCCTTATCTTGATTGTTTAATTCACATCCGTGAAGTGCTTGATTTTCCTCTTGGTAGTTGTATGAGATGCACAGCTCATTCTTCAGACACTCAAACGCACAGTCAAAACGAGAGGAGACCTGGAAGCTGGAAATGACGTGGCCAACAAGAACAGAACCTAAATGAAATAAGAAACTTGGTAAATTGAGAGCTTGGTAATGATACTCAATCACTGAGTCACAGATTCTTGAATGGTAAGCGTCTCGCATACTACTGGGATAAGCAGTGTCGAGAGCGTCATGCGCATGAAGAGAATGAGGATGGTAAGCTTTGAACTCAAACAGGGAAAGATGTTCTTTCGAGCGTGGCTGCGTAGTACAAAGAAAAAAGAGTCCCAAGACCCCAGCGAGGAATCACGGACAGCGAGGAATCACGAACGCGGACTCTTTAACAAAATCAATGAGTCACAGCTAGTGACTCTAAGGTGAGCTACGCCATGGCTAGGCTTGATTACAAGCCGCTGTTCGGAAATATGGGCCCGCGCTCGAGCGAAGACAAGACAGGGGCGGAAATTGAGCCTATCATGTCAAATTCATATGTAACGTATGTCCTGCATACTGCTGTGATCAGCAATATCGAAAGCAGAAATCTTCAGTCGAGTACAGTATATGACCTAATTACTTCGTTCATTTTTGTGTTCTACACCAGTTATAAAATGAATTTGTATTTTTGGTTAGAATTCCGCGAATGGCTGAATGTTTTTACCATCTCTTAATAAAGCCCAACTTCGATATAAGGACTATGAACAGCGTTGAGTTCCAAATATAAACTATAATTTTTTAAATAATTTTTCATCAAGGTCTCCGTTCTCAGACTACGCAAATTTTTTAGCTTTTAGGGACCTAAAGCAGTCAGGACGGTAATGCCATGGAAGACTTCGAGTAAAAAATGAATGTCGTATTTTAAGTTATAATTTCGAAAATGGTCGCATGTGTTTAGTGTCTCTTACGGCGCCCCACCTCTCGACTTTAGCATAACGTATGTAAGCAGCATAGAGCTCCGAATGGAAATAAAAACAATTTTCCGAAGCAGTTTCAGTTCGCAGACGACGCAAATTTTGGTGATTTCACGTTGCTGTTTGCAGAGGATGGCTAAGAAATATAGAAAGTTTTAAAACGCATAGTATAGATTTTTTTGCTTTGCGATGTCCTCATGGCCGTTACCATCGTGGTTTTGTGTAAAGAGAAGTTTCACAAAAATTGAACGTCATTAGTTTTTGTGATGTTTGAGGTAATCAGGTTCAGCTTGAGGAAAAATAAACTCAAATTTTGCCTTAAACTCAAGGAATATATGCACATCAAGCGGCCCTTGATAAGCCCACACTGTATCAACAACGTAACGGTATCAACTTAATATTTAAGGCCGGCTATGTAAACAAAGTTTAGCCGTTGTTTAACAAAACCGCGTTCTATGCCATCTTCAATTTAGCCGAACCTTCCATCTGAACATTTCTTTTTGTGAACAGTGTCAAGAGAGCCGAGAGCTCGTAGTGGAAGGAAATTTTATCTCATTAAATCAGTCCTCTTATAAAGAATCCCTGAGGCCCACTGCTTGCGTAAAAACCGCAGTTTTGTGTTGAACGTCATGTCAATAACCTGCTATTTCTATCTATATGCCATCGGTTTTTATTTATATGTGTAGGTAACGGTTAGAATCAATTATGTATGCATCTCCAGGTTGTCCTAAACTCAAACGGTTTTAATTTTTTTTATTCATAAAGTCGGCTGACGAAGCTGAACGCCACTTCAATTTCTGTTTTCTCGACCATGTTTTTTTTTTAACTCATTTTTAAAATGCAATGATTATTCGCATGCACGCTTACCTATACAAGTTTTACAACTCTTTCGGCTATTTTTTAGCAAGTATCCAGGATTCCGTTCACACTCACCCACCCTTGCCCAACATCCACAATGTTGGCTACCATCCTGACAACCTGAAGGCAAAAGATCTCCCTCTCTCTCTTTCGAACTGACAGTTTTCACGCAAATTTTCTACGCGCACCGAAACAGCTGCCTGTTCCAATTTGAAAAAGTTTGTTTTGAGTAATGCTGTTAATGATGTGATCAGTTTCGATCAGATTTCGCCATTAGGGGGCCAGCTGACGATTAAGGCATCAAAGCTTCATATTCTTCCAGGAGATATCACCTCATTCGTACAATCTCGACGCGAACGTACACTGTAACATCAAATCTGACTGCTACGAAACAAGTTTTAAGCCGAATTTTTTTTTCTCCATAGAACCCGCCTAAGCCTATGTTTGTTGACTTAAAATTTAGCACGATGAAAATGAAAGTCAAAGATTACATAAAAACCCTATGTTAAGTTTATTCCCTCGATTTTCTGGTGCTGATTTTTTTTCCAGTTAAACCTAGTTTAACTAAATATGATGGTTTGCTGTTGTAATCGGGGCATCATAATGAAGGTGACGGGAGTCTGACACATTAAGTCAATCACCTCCAAAATAAATCTTTTAGTTTCGCTTACTCATTGTTTTAATACATTTTTTAGAACGCGCATATAAAGCACATAGCAAAGCTTTCTTTAGGTTGTCGGAGACTTTGCAAAAGACTTCTATAACTCAAGCCAAAATAGCAGTTTCTTTTCTTAGGAAGTTCTTGTCTCTTCTTGGCCTACTTTTCTTTCTTCTTCTTTTCCTTCATGTATTTCTTGATATTCATTCCCTACATACCTCTCATAAATCAGGGGGAAACTCCCCTGCAGCATCGTAAAATATCAGATAGTGCTGGCTCGTTTGACCTTAGTGCTTGCGAATACCGCCTTAATTTAAAAAGAATACGATTTGGAAATCGTATATTTCTTCTACAGAGATAAGTTAAGTCAAAACACCTACCTGTAGCGTAAGTTTTGAAATTTCCAATCTTAACGCAACCCTGTCGCTGTGACGATAATTCAACGAGACGGAACGATACTTGGATAAGAAATAATACAATTATTCCCTTCATGAAAGATATTTGCTGCGTTATAATGAACATATCTACTCGAGGATTCCATACATTTTCATTCTAACTTTTTTGTGTATGAATTCGAAGATAGGTGCAGCACAGAGTCAGAAACTTAATTAGCTTAATTAGCTTTAACTGATTTATTATGAAACCGAACGGTATGACCAAATCTAACAATAAGATTGTTTAAAAGTTTTGCACTAATCAAAAGATGGCAACCGGAAAAAAACATCGTTACGTAAAAATCATTGAGGAGATTCTGCCAAAAAAATTGGCAGATCAAAAGCTTAGAATGCCAGTTTTAATTAGCCATATCATAACTTTTAGATCTATACTTTGCAACTAACTGCAATAGCTGTTGATCTCTGGAAAACAAATAACAATATTATTAATAATAGATTACAAGAATACTTACCAAGCGTGAAATAATTACCGATTCAAAGAACATGGACTGGAACCAGGCGCCGACTACCCACAGTCCCTCACTCGTCTATGTCCTGACCGCTGACCGATACGTTTCTCAACGTTGACAACGAAAAAAGAAGCGCGTGGCTTTTGCTGGAGTTTGACTACACTCTTTTTGTCGTTTTTAACAGCACCAGGTTGTCTCAAATCTTCCATCATGGCGGTTAGTAAGCTATTTTTGTTATTTTTCGTTGAACTGATTAGCTATTTCGAACTCTGCACGATTTAAAATCGGCATAGTCTCGGAGTCTCGTGGTGTTTCCTGTACATAGCATACAAATGCATGCTAAGATAGCACATCACATTACACGGCAAGATCGCTTCCTAGTTAGGTTGTTCCACGCTGTGGTTACTCTTTCTAAGTGTTAGGTGGCTAGACTGAAGGTTTTCACATTGGGGACACAAGGTTTATTCACCTAAACCAGATTAAACTCTTGTGGTAACAGATAACCAGTCTTGATTTCACTCTCGCATTAAAACTTTAAGGACTACCGCTATAACGAATTATTAAGTGCTTGTATGTACATCACGGATATGTCACTCACTACCTTATGGTGAAATGCCTGTGGTCTTAACTGAAGTTTACAGGTCGTAATTCCCTAAGAATTACTAAAACGCAAATAAAGAAAAACAGAGATCCAGAAGGTTAGTGAATAAGCAAAGAAATTTACATTAACTTGGTTGTTCTCATCACTTTGACGATTTGACTTGTTATTAAAAAATACCAAATCTACTTAAATCTGGTGTAAAATGCTGTATGAACATCATTGATTACAACACAGAATTGGTTTGAACCCAGGATTAACATTTTATTGTATTGTTTGATCATCTCTGTAAGAGAAGTCCTTGTTATGGGTATTAGTGACTGATTTCCAAGCAACCTTAGGCTGCGTTATTATCAGTGTTAAGTGACAATTGTGGTCGTTGAATTGTCAGTCGCCATCACAGACAACAGTCCTTCTTATAGCAACTCTCACCAGAAGATCAGACTGTACGATCGAAGTATTTATTGTAAAAGAACTGATTTTTCATTAAATTACCTACTCAGACTATGCCCTTAAACCCCAAGCCCTTCCTTAACGGGCTCACTGGCAAGCCAGTTATCGTGAAACTAAAATGGGGGATGGAATACAAGGGTTACCTTGTGTCTGTGGATGGATACATGAATGTTCAGGTAAGTTTATCTTCCGCGAAATCTTCAGTTTTTCACCAACTAGACTTGTTTTTATGGGCTTAAAAAAAATGCTGGTTGGAGAAAACATGGTATATTTAGGTAGGTGCTTATTTATGGTAAGCTTGATTTTGGCAGGAGAATCTCAGTATTTTCTTCAAGGCTTAGCAGCCAGCTTTGATTTTATAGGACCAAAAAGCTGGGGACAGAAAGAAGCTTTTAGCAAGAGGGGGGGAGGGGTTAGGTTAGGGTTAGGGGGAGGTGAGTAACGGTCTTTAAGAAGGAGAGGGGGAAGGTTGGGGAAATATAAATAATGGCTACTAAAGACCATTGATCTTTTGGAAACTCTGTTTGCATATGAACAGAGCTTCCCATTGGTACAGTTTAGCCATGCCTTTCAGTTACAAGCTGAACTGTTTCACTTTTCCCTTGCGTGACAAAGAGAAACAGATGCTGAATTCTGCAAAGGAGAAATTGATAAAAAAAGAAAAGATGTTTGAAAGTATGAGCAACCAGGAAACTTTTTGCCAAAGACAGTGAGCTACTCTTACTTCTAGTCAAAGATATTTCAAATAAACAAAACACCAAGAGTAATTGTTATTTCAACTGTTTTGGCAGAATCCATGATGATTTCCCATAGCATCAAAATGTTTATAAATACAGTTTTGTAATATTCCCTTTCCCCTTCCTTTACTGTTACCTTAACTAGTAAGACACACACTATAATTTTTCTCTCTCTTTTATGTTATACTGCTACCTATAAGCCTGGCCTTACCTGGTTTTAAATAAGACAGGGTACCTCAATTTGACTTTCTTGAGAGGTCCAGAACACAAACTGCCATTCATGGTCCCAACTTTGTTATAATGCAAATAACCACTTTGAGGGATTTGTAAGCACGTGTAATCTTCTTCTTTAATGCTTCCGCTTACATGGGCTGTGAGCAAATTTGCTTTAACCCTTTAATTCCCAGGAGTGACCAACACAGAATTTCTCCTTACATTATCAGTACAACATCAACCAGCTAGGTGATGAGAATAAAGAAAAATATGAATTTGTGGATAATTAGTTGATCTAATACTAAATTCTCTGAACTAACGTGATAAGAATTGTATGGTTGGCAGTGAAAAGAATTACAAATTTGATCTGGGAGTTAAAGGGTTAAGCACATGCTTGTGCATGTTCATGTACCGTAGTGTAATTTGTATCATATACAATGGTGAAAAAGTGTTTTTTGTTTTTACAGCTTGCTAATACAGAAGAGTTTATAGATGGTGCATTGACAGGCAATTTAGGGGAAGTTCTAATTAGGTTAGTTGTTACCGTAAGATTGTACTCATGTGATGTGATGTTAGTTGAAGTGGCACTGTCTTTTCCTAGCAGTACAAGGTTATCTTTGGAATAGATCCTTTTAAGAATGTCCAAAGATTATCATGTTCATTCTCCTCTTTGTACTGTGTCCTTTTTTATCAATTTTTCTATTAATTTTATACATTATTGCTAGATGCCAATCCCAAATATTTAACTCTTTAACTCTCAGAAGTGATTAACATGTAACTTCTCCTAAGAGTATCCCTACATCATCCGAACTTACAGCTAATAAGAATACACTTACTAATCAGGCAGAAGATGTCATCTTGATCGAACAACAAATTCTCATAAGTAATTAACAAGGTAATGTGTAGTTGCAAGAGGGGAGAATTGACAATCAGATCGTGGGAGCTAAAGGGTTAAAGAAACCATGAGTAACAACTTAGTACCTCTTATAATTTGCTGAAGGTGAATACATTGCTATTATGTTGTTGTTTATTTTCTTTGTGTAGGTGTAACAATGTTCTTTATGTTCGTGGCGTAGATGAAGAGGAAGAGGATGGAGAGATGAGAGAGTAGCCTCTTAGAACTATTTGCAGTCAGCTTTTTTTGTATTATATTTATTACTATGTAAATTTAGGACTTTCCTTTAAATTTTATCCACTGAAAACCCTCTCATGTGCGAGAGATGTTACAAGGTTAACTTGTAAACTGGCGTTTTCTCATAGAAATTGGAGATCAAACTTCATTCTGATGATTGTCATTTGTACGTTCTGCAGTTTTGAGCTTTTGAGTAGAATAGAAAAAATATATATTGTTGGTAATTTAACTGTACTTGTAAAAGCATACAAACTAGTCCCAAAGAAATGACACAGCTATTCCTCAAGAAGGAAAAAAGTTTCATGTAGTTTGTCTAAATAGGTCATTTTATTTGTATTGAGGTAACTGTCGTTCACATACTTGTGCTTCAATTTTTTTTTTTTTTTTAATATATAATAACAAAAAAAAAACTTAAAGAAGTAAATAATACTTACTTTCTCTGAGATTATTTTGTGCTTTCATACGTGATATTTAAACTTATTTTACTGGCCTTCATAATCGAATTTCGAAAAAAAGGAGAAGAGTTCTGTTTGAACGTGTTCATTTGCAAGTATTCTATTTTTTAATAATACATCAATGCGCAATGGTGATGGTTTACCGGGTTACCTCAAATACTCTCCTCAAATTAACACCGCGTTCACTTTAGTCTGTGGTCAGCAGTCCAGCCCGCCAGACGAGCGGTTAGACAACATGATGGAAATCTACAGTTGTCACGTGAAAACCAATTAAGACCTAGAGCGTTTGACAGCTCCAAGGCACTAGTTTCCCACCAGTTTCCCATCGGCTTTCCCATCGGCTGCGCGCAAAGGAACTTATATTTTTGGGAGCACTCCTGGGAATTACTTTCGTGAAAGTGTTTCAAAGGCATGTTTTTGGAAATGTATCAGTTCGAGACGTGTTTGTGGACAACATGATTGGGGAATCTTAGCGTTTTCAACTCTTTTCACACCGGGATTTATCAAGTACGATCGCCAAGTTAATGAGTTCTTCACGGACCCATAGATAGAAGCCCAAAGTAAGCTCAAGGTAATCGGAAAGCCCTATACCAGCAGACGTCACACGATTTAACGAAGGAATTTTGTAATGGTGCAATAGGACCATAAATCTGCTTGTTGTTTATTAAACATTTCACATGCATGTATATACAATTTACAAAAGTTTGATTTAAATCAAAGCCAGTGACAAATTATCTCGAACTCGTGTGACTTTGTTTTGTTTCGCGTCCCAGTTGGTTCAATACAAACAAAAATTTATTTTTTTGCAAGAAACAAATTTCAAGGAGTCTACAGCTGTTGAGAGTTTTATGTAAAAAAATATTTCAGTTCCTCTTCCTCTTTGTCTTGTTTCTTGTCGGCATCCTGCTGCTTTCTTCGCGTCTGCGGTGGTTCTGAGCGGAACATCAGTGGTTTACCAGTCTGAAATGAGAACAAGCCAAAACAGAGCAATTTTTAAAAAGTTTAAAGAACTTTGGGATTGAATAGTTTTTCCTTCACTGAGCTTTACGATTAGACTAGAAAACTCACACCACACTTTCAACCAATCAGATGCAAAAGTTAAAACCAACTGTGACACTGTCATACGTTTTCCCGCGCTAAGGCCGTAATCTGTGTTTACATTAAGTGTTCACTGGCTCTGTGATATTTCCTATTGTTACAATTAGCCCTTGTGTTTACTTTGGTTTCGTAATTGTAGTCTTCCTTTGTGAAATATCATAGGGCAAAAGACCATATTCTCTTATCCTTGGGTCTAAACTTCTAAGCGAAGCCAATGACAAGCTTCCACGTAAGATTAACAGCCCTGTAGATTTTAGCGTCATGTGACATGGCATGTATTGCCCACCTTTTTCTTCGGTTCAGCTTGAGCTCGTTCCAGGGCTCTCCTCACCCGGTCCTCTTGATGCAATCTTTGTAGTTCCATTTTCTCTTCACGAAGACGTAAGCGTCGATCTTTCTCTTTTGCCTATGACAGAAAAGAGAACAGTGCACCGGTCAGGGAAAGTTCCATGTAGTATACACGGATCACTCTTTGACCTTTCATAATTTACTTTCGCAATTTTCAGTCCAAGTTGAAGACTTTTTACTTTAGGTTTCCCTCCAACTACCAGCTACAAGGATTTACTCCATTTGCCTCAGATGACTCTCGTTTCTGTATTACAACGAGGTTAATTGTGAAGCTGTTGATTGAAAATAACTACAATTCTACAGATCTTTGCAAATAACAGTCATCTTCATAATAATATTAAGCAGCTAACCTCCACCAAATGTGGCAGTTCCTTTAATTTGGAAAAGGCATTTGAAGATGACAAAGCAGAACTTGCAGTTAAAGCCTTCTAAAATGTTATATCAAGAACAATGCCGATTTTAAATCTTCATGTTAGTCACGTTTTCATTTTAAACAAATCATATTCCGTACATATAAATAAGGGCGTAAGTTACAGAAACTGTATTATTACGAGAAATTTTGGTGAAACAACTGAGTTGATAACTATGATGTAAATTAGCCACGGAAATAGTTTCTAAAGCTGACGTTTCAAGTATAAGCCCTTCATTAGAACCCTAACGCTCAAAACGCCTCAGAAACTCTTTGTGATGGTCAGTTTACATCATCGACTCAGTTGATAAAGCTAAATTATCCCCTATTGCGTGCCTACAATCGTGGTTCTAAACAGGCCTCGTACCTTTTCTGCCATTTCCACTCGGTCCGGTGGCATAACTTCGATTTGTTCAAAAAGCTCTTCCAGGCGATTTTCAATATTGGTCAGCATCTGAAGGGTGCTGATAGGATCAAACAAGTCAAGGGATCAATCAAAACAAACAGACAAACAAGTGACAACTACAGTCACAGCCTGTTTGAAACAAAGAACGACAACAAAATACAAGAACAAATCAATAACCAACAATGAAACGCGACTGAAGTAGTCTGCTATCGCCGTTCGATTAGCCTAACAGGGCGGGAAAAAAAGCCGCGCGATAATTGCGGCGGAGAGGAAAAAACTAGGGAGGTTTGGGTCGGGTACATTACGCAACCCGACCCACACCTCTCTCGTTTTTAGCTTAGATCATCATCGCACAACATCTACTATGTGAATGCCTGGAACAGGCTATAACTAAAGCGAAGAATAGCTTTAACAGAAGAATGAATCATCGCATTCCTGGCGATTCGTGTTGACTTGAACATCTTAAAAGGTAAAGATGGGAGAACGGACTTCTTGTTTCTTTTTTCCTTTGTTTCGATTCTATGTCGCAGGACTGGTAATGGTTGGGGCATCAAGAGAATTTATTGAGCACCTATCAGGTGCAAACAGTTTTCACACCAACAACCACCCATAGCATACCTTATGTTGGCCTCGTTATCTCCTATACAATTCCGATAAACCTCTTCGACTTTCTTGTTCAACGTTTGAAGCATTTTTTCCTGAAAAGAACGCAATGAAAAAAGGGGGTTATTTAAAAAGCTTATAAAGGAAAGGGAGAATTATAATCAGGCCAGGCAAGATTCAGCTACATATCACAAAAATCCCTCAATTATTAGCTCACGCTGTCGCGAAATCCTACAGTATAACGTGTACAAAAAATTATCTGAATACAGTTCCACGGGTCCAAAACAGAGAGGGCGTGTTACCTGGTCTTCTGCTTTAAATTCTCCATATGAGAACATTCTGCAAGGAAATAAAAATAAATAATCAAATAGATGAATAAACATTTATTTAATTAAGTAAACGTACATTAGAGACGACGGGAAACTAGGACATCGAGACATTTAACACTTTAAATCCTATATTCTCCCCTCTAGCTGCTACACATTTCCTTGTAAAATAGTTACGAGAATATGGTGTTGGGTCAAGATAACAACTTTGAGTATTCTAATCACCTGTTTGTTGTATAATGTATGGTTATTTAAGGGAGCAGTAACATGTTAATCACTTCTGGAAGTTAGAGGGTTAAGTTCCCCTTACAAAAATGCAAATAAACTAAAGTGTATTGATGTTGACTCTGTGCAAAACAGGAAAAGTGGAATAATGGTGATAAGCAACTACCGTACTTTGATTTCATTTCCAGTTCCTTTGCTCTCTCTTCCTCTCTGTTTATGGCATCATTCAAAAAGTCTATCTGGCCTTTGAGAATTTCTGTTTCGCGGTTCCTGTAAAGAGAAAGAAGATCAGTTAAATTACGACAAAAAAGATTCCTGAATCTGCCCCTGTGAAGCAACTTCAAGTCTAACCTAAGAAAAGGTCGAACAGGTCCTTATTACTAGCGCATCAGTATGAGGGTTTCTTCGCTGGTAAGAAAATTTTAGGCTTTGAGCAACGAGAATCGCCGTGATGTCTGCAAGTGGTTCAGCTGAGACACCCGGTAACTCTCCCCCCGACTCGTTTCCAATCTTCCTGCGGGCAGAGAAGCGCTCATCCAGCCGCGCTAATCACGAGGGCATACTTGCACGCTACGTCAAGTCCAACTGAGGGGACTTACATTCGTTCCTGCGTCTGTTTAATTGTCTGTCGAAGTTCCTCCAGGGCTTCTTCGGTTTCTTGACTGTTCTGAATCAGAGATAAATTTTGTTCTTCTAGTTCCGCAAAGATGTCGAGAAGCTGCTGAGGATCGCCAAAAAACAAGTCTGGCTCCTGTCAAATGAAAAAGGGACAATCATAAAATTAATTGTAATCAACATAACTGCTGGACAAAAAGTAAGGAATATTAGCAAAAAGGTCATTCAAAAAGTGTTTACATCGGTTCAGAGAGTGTTTTTAGAAGTTCAAAAGATAATTGATCATCAAGAAATTCTATAACTTGGATTCTGTTCTTCCATTATTTGTTAATTTTTATTCTCTCTCAGTTTCCAATAACCAAACATCCATGCTCTAATTGAGCGAGAGGACTGAAAAGAAAATGAAAAGTAGCAACCTCGTGCTTAGGCTCTCCTTACCGACCCCTGGGGAGAGAGAAGAATCGCTCCAGGGGATGAGAAGAAGAGAGAGACCTAGACACGAGGTTGAAAAAGGCGCTGTGTCCATTTCCCTTACAGTATCGCTCTCCTCTTCGTCAGTTTCGTAAACAGAGGCTGGACTGTCTTCTGCATCACTCCTTTGCCTATGGATTACAAAAACATAACAGTTAAGATTTTATATTCCAAATGAAGACATTAAGTGTTATTATAAGCTAGTGGTGAGTGCACATTGAGGGGTTCGTGTTTTAGGCCCTGATCAGGATCACTGAGGGAAATTTGTATTTTGGACATGAAACTTCGCTCTCGCAATGCCTCTTCCTACCTAAGCAAAGAGCTTCGGTTGTAAACGAAGAAAAAAAACATGAAAAAATTTTCGTTTTTTTTTTATGTTTACAGGGCAAGCGAAGGCAAATGCTGGCAAGCCGAGGCGTGAGATTCACACTCTGCCATTGCGCGTCTCTTTCCTAACACGGGTCTCCACTCGCCCGGAAAAAGACACAGAAAGGAAACAACACCTGTTCTGCATGTATTTTTTTTTGTTTTTCGATTTAACAGCAGCTGATATAAGCGTCAGCAGTCAAGGAACAAAAAACTTATCCTTTTCTAACAATCTTTTAATATTTTCAGAGGAACATGCGGATATGCACGTTTAGATGTGACTCAACAGATATCGACGTAATGGTGTCTATAAAATGCTCAAGTGGTTGGTGCGGTTGTGAATACGGTAGAATCAAAAATAATAATACACACTGTTTGTACACTTACATCTTCACTAAAGGACTTCCCGCTAATTTCTGTATAGGTAAAATGCATCAAATACAATCATTTACATTGTTTAATTGAACCAAAAGAACAGTTAAGATACACCTTGAGCTGATTGAACGATGTTAAAAGGGAATTTCCGACGTGGCTCAATTTTGTTCTCCCTTTGACCCCAGAGAGGGACTAGCATGTCATTGTTGGTTACAATATTTTCTGGCAATCACAAGTTAGGGTCTCAAGAATAAAGGAAACGATCACCAACTAAAGAAGCTCTCGATTTTCAAACAAACAAATCAGCACCTTAGTATAAGAAATGTACTGAGAACGGAATGGAGAAAATGACTACCAATGTTGGGGAAAGGATTAAATCATTGAATTCACCATTAGGCTAATACCAATTGATACACTGTGTAAATGCTTGAACAACATTATCGCACAAGTATCCTTGTGCAGGTCATTGGCAGGCAAGATATTGATTGTCAAGTAGACAGAAAATAATCGAATCTCGATTAGCCATTAGCCTTTTTACTGGGCCCTCTGTCAGAGGAGATGAGCTAAAAGGCGAAAAATGGCCAGCAAACAGGTGAAACTGGCAGCTGGGGTTGCATCTGAATTTTGGCCTGTCTCTTGAGTAACAGAGTCCCTTGCACAAGCTAAATCAGATAATCTGGTACTTTACAAGGTTCATATCAGCAGCATGTACATGTACTTACAGAGCTGGCCCTACTTTCTTTACGGCTACCACGACTGGAGTTTCTGTCAGAGCTGATTATAGAAACTAACCAAAAGGTTTTTAATGAGAGGTAGATCATTTGCTTCTGCATGATTCATGTAGTATACATATTGTATTATGCTAAAGTGGAATTTCAAAGACTCAACTCCAAACTGAAAACTTATTCCCAAAAGGTGCAATAAACTGGGATCAAGTTGAGAGTCTATAATTGAGATTTGAGGTGCCAAAGGTCTTTTTTGAATACATGATTGAAATTTCAAAAGCATATTACAGTAGGGCTAGACATAGCAATTCACGACCAGCTTTCTTTCTTTGCCCTGTAGCCACCATAAACATATATAAATATTTCCAATCTCCAAGAGCTCAATTTGGCACTTCTGATAACATACTATACAAAACATACACACACGTCTAGGATACATAATTATATAATATAATATACACCAAGATACACTCACTTCTCTTTTTTGATACTGAGCTTTTATCCCTCTGTTTAGCCTTCTGTGGTGAAGAAAGGAAAACAAAAATAAATAAAATATAACCACCACACCAAGAAATTAATTTTTAAAAAAAAATTAAAAAGGAATACCTTTATATAGTTTTCCACTTAAATTTTACCTTTTTCTCCTCTTTGGCTTTTCTCTTATCATCTTTCCACTCCTATACAGATGTAATTAAGCCAAAATTAATGCAATCACAGACTCACCACAGAGATGAATTAATGATTAATTAATAATTAATAAAAAATAACAAGTATCAAAAACATGTACCTGTGGAGTAAGGGAATCCAGGAACTGTTTGTACAACATATACTCTTTGAGAGTGTCCTCATTTTTAGATATTTCACTGAAAAATTAAGGTTAAAAACCAACTAAAGTTGACATTAAATATTACTAACAGTAACTGTTGCTTTAAGTGCAATAATTTTTTTTGACACTACAGTTAATTTTGTAGCATTGTAAGATTACTACAATTATACATGAACTGTATATTCAACGAATGATTTCCAATATCACTGTCATCTCACCTCTTTATTGCCATCATTTGAGCATTTATTTTCTTAATCTCAGCCACTTTTTCAAGTTTAAGCTTTGTTTCAGCCTCAGCTCTGTTAAGAAAAATACCAGTGGTGGATAAGCTTTGAATTGATTAAGACTTTTAAAAGTACAATGTATCTACACATATAGCACATAAATTGGATTTCTGGAAATGTAGGAATTCTTTATTATACGTTACATTCAGTACTTTATATTAGGCAATTCCAAAAACAACAGTGTTTAATATTAAATTTCTTGATTCGAAACTAAGTTGAAGACTGACAAGTCATACACAAATAAACTAGGATGACTGAGGTATGTTTCTAAAGAAACTGTGGTGCTACATTAGTGGGGGAACATAACAAGATTGTTTGGTTTTAGCAACTGAGTTGATGATGTAAATTTGTGAATTGACCACTGTAAAGAGTCTCTAAAGCTGAAAGCTGCATTGCTAGGGGAGTATAAGAGGTAATTCAGTTTTAGCAACTGAGTTGATAATGTAAATTTGTGAATTAGCCACTGTAGAGAGTCTCTAAAGCTGAAATTTTGAGTGCTAGCCCTTCCTCAAAGCAAAGTTTGAATAGCAAGATAAAAATTATTTATACAAGTAAATTATTATTACAATATAGTACTCACATTTTGATAGCTTCAACTGAGTTTTTGTCATTTTCTTTTAAAAACTCATCAAACATTGCGGCATCTTCTTCAAGGTACTGCTCAGCAAGTTCAAGCTTCTTTTCTTCTGCCTATTAAGTTAAACATATGAAGATCAATGAATGAAAACTTTACTTAATAACTGAACTTGTGCATACATCAAATATGATAATTATCATTAAATGATTAACTGATAATTTCTGTGACTCGATTAACCTGAAGCTAGTGACCAGTGCACTAAATATATCTACTTCCCTCAATCTCCTTTTTAGATACTTTTAAATGGGATAGATTGCTAGGTTTTAAAAAAGTTCTTTGACCCTTAAACTCCCAGGATCTGATTGTTAATTCTCCTTTCTTATACCTGCAACACATTCCTTGAAAATTAGTTAGGAGAATTTGGTGTGAGATCATGATAACAACTTCTACATGATAAGTTTGGACATTCTCATTACCTGTTTGCAGGGTGGGCAGAAGTTTCATGTTGAATACTTCTGGGAGTATAAAGGTTAATTCAGTAATTATGGCTTGAATGTGATAACTAACCTGGGCAATTTCTTCTAGTTTCCTCATTTCATCACGCTTCACACCTAAAGAATACTAAAAGGACACAGCCATGATTTATAAGTACTGAAACCATTTAAAAGGCTAGCACTGGGGACTTCTTAAGATTAGTCCATGATTCAAGGACATTAGACACCGTGTAGACTCCTTTCCAAGCCTGTTATTTAAATGTACTGTAACCCAATTGGAAAGCACCAATGAATAGAAAATCACATCTCCCTATGACTTTTGTTAGTCCATATGGATAATAAGATGCAAGATCAGTATTATGTACCACCCCTAAAACTGTTACTGTAGGATTAATATTTACCTGGACTAGAAACATCTCCCTTTTCTTAGAAATGAAATCTGCCAGATTTTCTTTCTCCACATGGCGATCTGAAAGTGATTTGAAAGCATCATCATCATTATCATCCTCATCACTGGTAATTTACCTGTTTGTAACATATGAATATCCATATTGTTTAGTGCACAACCTACAGTAATCGCAACTATACACCAACCTTTTGTTTTAGTAACAAAAGGCTGACAAAGAATCGAGTCAGTCAATTTAAATTATTGATATACTGGTACCACATTGCAATTGTTGTTCAAGATCAAATACCAAAAATCTACCTCTTGTAATTGCCAATGTAAATTGAGGGTCATCTTTGACTGCAATCACTCCATCCTTGTCTTTCTTTTTCTCCTCTTCAACAAAGTCATCTTCATTGTCGTCACCTATTTTCCTCATTGCAGCTGTTTTGGCATTGACACGTGATGTGTATGTTGTCTTTTCATGCACCTTTAAACTTCGCTGCTGGATTCTTTCCTGCCAGTGAAGAGAATTGGAATACTCATTTTACCTTACCAACTAGGCTTGTAGAGAAGAAAGTTAAAAAACTTTCCTTTTTTTCAAATTTTACCAGCCAAGCAGTGAGCTTTTCCTGTGTCACAAACTGGTTATTAATCAAGTAAGTATTTCACTTACATGTACCAGCAGTCACCCATGGGAAATGGCATGGTGACCACTTAACCCTTTACACCCTAAGATCAGTATGCATATTCTCCATACTGTTCTCTATACATTTCCTTAGGTGCTGACAAGGAGAATTTGTTTAACAATCAAAAGCCTCTTTTGTAGGTAATCATTTCCTTTATTCTCATGACCTTTATGTTTGAATCAGGGGAGATATTGTAAGGAGAAATTAGATGCTAGTCACTCTTAAGAGTCAGAGAGTTAATACAGGGTAAGTCACTGGTTACTGTAATTGAGGTTCCACAGAACACCAATGATAAAAAAAAGCAGCAAAAAGTGCCATTTTGTGCCATAATTGACCACTTATTGTAAGAAAAAAAACATGCTCAAAAACTCTGCTAACACTGATTTCAGGAGAGAAACATGGATTCAATTTTATCTGGTCACTCTTAAGAGTCAAAGAGTTAATACAGGGTAAGTCACTGGTTACTGTAATTTAGGTTCCACAGAACACCAATGATAAAAAAAAGCAGCAAAAAGTGCCATTTTGTGCCATAATTGACTACTTATTATAAGAAAAAAAACATGCTCAAAAACTCTGCTAACACTGATTTCAGGAGAGAAACATGGATTCAATTTTATCTGAAATGTTATTCATAGTTTTATTGGCTGGAGTGATTCTGTTCAAAGTGACCCTTCCATACAGGTAGAAGAGTCAATACAAACAGGCTGTTGGAACTCATTCAAAGGTGACCACAAATGCTTAATTGTGGTGGCAGCTTCAGAGAGATGAAAATTACATTGATTAAGGGGAAACATTTGGAACTTAGATAACTGACTACTTACAACAAGGTGAGTACTTAATACAGTGCTGCAGATACAGGTTCAACTGTAGTTGCATGACATTACCTGTTTCTTTTTCTGTCTCTCTTTGTCTCGTAGCATAAATACATCATTATCGTGTGGAATGGTGAATGGATTATGATTTGGATTTACCACAGACTCAACCACTAAAGAAAAAAAAAATATATATATATACTTGATTGGTTATTCTTCATTCAATAATGTAGTTACAATAAATGCAACTTTCACCCCAATCACCTAAGAATAAATTATCTTCTCCTCACATTTCCATTAAAAATTCTTTACAATTTAAGCCATGAAAATGTATTGTAATGGAAATAAAATACTACCCATTTATTGGTCGTTTACTTTCTTCATTAATATAGTGTTAGGAGAAATTACAATCTGGTAACTCCAGTGAGTGAGAGAGTGTGTAACCAAGATTTACACATCTTGTATTTTAACCCTTTAACTCCCAGATCAAATTTGTAATTCTCCTTACTGTCAACCATACAATTCTTATAATGTTAGTTCAAAGAATTTAGTATTGGATCAACTAATTATCCTCAAATTGATATTTTTCTTCATTCTCATGACTTATCTGGTTGATTTTGTATTGATATTGTAAGGAAAAATTCTGTCTTGATCACTCATGGGAGTTAAAGGGTTAAAGAAAATGAATAAAATTACTTCTGTCAACCTAATCATGATGATTACAAAATTCTGTAACAGTTCCAGAAGCCAAGCAAGAACAAGATGAAATCGCCATGGAAGGTATTTTCTTGTTGTTTGTCCCATCCTGATGACAAAGCCTCAGATATACCAGATTTCTGTCCTGAGTCCCTCAAGAACAAGATGGAATTGTATTTGTTTGTCTTATGCTAGTTTTTAACTTTTTTTTCTCACAAACATTTCAGATATAGTACTTACCTGATAAAGCCGAGTGTTTACCAGAACTTGATTTTGCAGATTGCAATGCCACTTTATCAGATTGTCGAGAGGCTGATTGTCCCCCTAAATGTACATAACAGTGATTAAGCTAACATCAGCTAGGTCTCTTTTTTGATTATAAGAGTCTTCAAACTAAAATCTTAGTTATCACTGACACCTTTTTAAACATTGTGGTGTTTAAAGCAAGAATCCAGGTTGAAAAATCACATTGAATTGCTTCAAAGGAAAATACTGGTCACCAATTGATGATTGGCTTTCGATTTCAGTCTGAATGGATGTAAGGTGGGTGTGAGTTTCTTTTACAACCAGACAAAGAGATTAAACCTAAGAAAAAAACAATCTAATTCCAGATTTCTCTTGATTATCTCAATAGTTCCATGGCTATTCTTAGCTTGCAAGTGTGATAAAACTCGAGTGACCTGTCAACTGACTCCAATAATATGTCCTCCAACAGGTATTAGATTTAAGATTATTTCTTGTCTATTGGTTTGCAAACCGAAGTAAGCTGACTCCAATAATGTACCTTTCCTACAGGTATTAGATTCAATATTACTTTGCGTCTACTAGTTTGCAAACCGAAGTGAGCTACCAGTACATTTACAGCCATACACCAACTTTAACGACTGCCAAATGCCAGAGCAATTGCAAATCACTACTTAATCTAGAACTGCGATGTATATATATAGACTGATAAAGTTTACGTAAATGTACGCCTAGAGAGAAATGATCTAATTATAAATCTCTGAAAACTTACCACTCCGTGGTGGCTTATTTGATCCTTGAGAAGGCGATCGAGACATTTTGATCACGCTGTTGAAAAGGAGTTGCAAAGACCCCGGACTACTTTGTAAAACCCTACTACACTTGTATAAAAGTTCACAACAAGAAACACGGATTCTGTGGTGGGAAACAACTGTTTAGAGTAGATTCAAACCCCTTAAAAAGACAAAAGCTCCTTATTTACAAACAAGAAAAAGCAATCCTTGCACGACGTTACTAGATGTCTGAGTTTGCCTCTTAGGTACATTAATGTTGTCAGTGGAGTTTCAGCGGAACATCAGCCATCTTGTGTTTAGATTGATAACGAGGTTGCCTGTTGGCATGGAAACTCCAAGGCAAGCAGCGCATGCTAATGCGTTAGTAACAGCTGACTATTGAGAAGTTTGTGTAAAATTCACGGGTTGAAGCGCAGAGAATTCCTTTAAAATTATATATTTAAATTACCACAATTTTATCATGTATAACCTCAGAATTCGACATGCGAAGCAAGTAGTTTTAGTCTGTAATAATGGCGAACGAATTTTGACGGGAGACTCTATGAAAAAGCTGGCTATTGTCGAAGGAACAAAGGACAGAGGTGTGTCTGTTGTTGTCGATAGCGCGGGAAAAATCGAATGTATTGATTTTGACGAGAAGGTAGATCGAGACTATAGCAATCATACGTTCACCGAGGAAATAGATGCTTCTGGAATGTGTGTCTTGCCCGGTAAGTTGAGCTCGTTTAGGTTAATTAGTTTTGGACATAACAACGAGCGCAGGTAAAAAGCTGGTCGCGAGAGGGGAGAGTGTGGGGAGAGGTGTTCAACCTTTAGTTTTGCGTCTAAAGCTTAACCATTCATATACGTAACGTTTACAGAATCAATTAGGTGGTATGTGCGAGTGCTGATATGCTAAGTACATGTTGGTGCGTGTGCATTCCTGAGTGCTTGTGCAAAGGTGCTAATTACATTTGTTGGGTACCTGCACAAATTTGTCCCCAACAAGCAAGGGGATAAATTTTGACCACCCGTGCGTCATTTTCCTGCGCAGAATTTTAAAGGGAAGCATACAAAATAAGAGCTTCCATGCAAGATATTAAAAATAATTGAAATGTTCATAGAAATCTGTGATAGGAAACAATTGTGGGACTTTCTGAACCAAAAGCGTTTTCAATTAGGGGTATGCAGTAGATTTACCATGTATGGCTGTGGACTGACCCTCGCCATAATTGGAAAAAAATTCCTTATTAGGGGTGACACACCAGTCATATTTGTGCACATGTGCAAACCCTATAATGGCGAGTTGTCTCCTTTCAAGTTGTCAGAACTGACATTTTATCACTTGTCAGAACCAATTTGTCTAACTGGGAAGTCATACATGGCATACTGGCTAGTGTTGCTGTTTACAACTCCTACTAGACAACTTGGTTCTGACAAGTGATAAAATGCCAGTTCTGACAACTTGAAAGGAGACAACTTGCCATTATAGGGTTTGCACATGTGCACAAATATGACTGGTGTGTCACCCCTAATGGGGAATTTTTCCAATTATGGCAAGGGTCAGTCCACAGCCATACATTAGGATTCATTTCTCAACTTTGTTGCCTTTATTTTAGGCCTTATTGATGGTCACACTCATCCGGTATGGGTAGGTGACAGAGTGCATGAATTTGCCATGAAGGTAAGTCTGCCAATCAGAATGCTTATTCACCATTCTTTATGCATTTTCTATGGTAAGGAAAAGGGGAATCAATTAACACTCTAAAGCTTTCTAACCCTTTAACTGCTATGAGTGACCAAGACAGAATTTCTCCATACAACATCAAAACAATATCAATCAGACAGGTGATAAGAGTTAAGAAAAATATAAGTTTGAGGATTTTCTAGTTGATCCAGTACCAAATTCTCAGAACTAGCATCATAAGAATTACATGGCAGACAGAAAGGAGTACTACTAATGATATCTTGGGTGTTCAAGGGTTAAGTTGGTAATCATTTCCATCATTGCCATAACCTTAAGGTTGGTTTCGTAATTGATAAGAGAGTTAATCATTACTTCAGAGTTCAAAAGGTAATATGATTTAAATTTTCAAAACAGGGGTGTGGTATTTATCTCTCTTTTTGAACTAATTAACCTCTGATGCTCATGTCATACTTGTCAATAACAATCTTTTTTCATTCATAGCTGGCTGGAGCTACATACATGGACGTACACAAGACTGGAGGAGGAATAGGTTTCACTGTGGAGCATGTGCGCAGGGCTAGTAATGAAGAACTATACACATCACTTAGAGAACGACTTCTGAGAATGTTAAGATCAGGTACAACTTTGGTTGAAGCCAAGAGTGGCTATGGTTTGGATGTAGACTCAGAGATGAAGATGCTACAAGTTTTAGAAAAAGCTAAAAAAGAGCTGCCTATTGAGATATCCAGCACATTTTGTGGAGCACACTCTGTACCAAAGTGGGTAAAGTTCATAAGAAAATTTACTATTTGCAAGGTTGAAGAATATAGAATAAGTTGTGTGTAGTGCTGTACATTTCTTTCTATCACCTTTTTTTTGCCTGTGATACATTCTAACTGAAAATATATGAAAATCATATTTAAGAGTTGTGGATTTAGAAATGAATATGAAAGTGATCTTCTCAGGAATAAAATATCCTGCAGAGGCCTTAAAAGAATTCAGGCCTGTGTGGGACTTGAACTTGTTAGCTCAGTTGGTAGAGCACTGCACCGGTATCAAAGAGATCATGGGTTTGAATCCCATATAGGCCTGAACAATCTTTTTTTAGGCTTTATTTTCACTGCTGCTTAAGTAGTGTTTATTTCTGCAAAGATCACTTTCATGTTCATTTGAGTTACCTTCTGTTACTGATCAGGCAGGGAAAAACAGGATTTATTTTCCAATTAAAGATACTGCTGATTTTTCTAACCCTAGAGGAAGTACATTGGAAGAGGCAACTGATAATGTGATCAATCACCAGATACCTAAGCTTCAAGAACTGATGAAAAACAAAGAAATAGTTGTTGACAACATAGATGTATTCTGTGAGAAAGGTGTGTTTGGTATAGAAGAAACCAAAAGAATACTCGAAGCAGGAAAAGCTGCAGGACTGGCAGTCAATTTTCATGGTGATGAACTACATCCAATGAAAGCTGCTGAGGTACACAAACTAAATGATGGCATGTAATTTTTAGCTCCTTTTGTTTACTACTTTTTTTCTAAAAAGTAAAACATTTTATAGATTAACACAAGTGAACAATATTTTGATATGAAGATGTGTGCGCCATTTCTTTGCTTTTCTGAAGCATCTTAGCAGGCAGGAATCTTAAATTCTTGAATCTCATTGGTTAATGACATGCTCACACCCAGCTTTTTGTAAAGTAGACAACGGTCAGGAATTTTTCCATGTCATTCATGGCAGTGTGGAAGAGAGAAAACTGGAAGGAAAAAAAACAAACAAGTTGTTTACCAGTCTTAAGGTCGGTCCCTCCTGAGAAAACTGTGCCCTTGGTCTTGAGTACTCAGTACCTGGCACACAATTTTTTTTTTTTTTTTCTTACATACGGACCACCCACCTGGTGTATAAGTTATGTGTTTTTCTTAGATCATCATTCTCCCCATCAGCTAGGGGCTGAACTCAAGGCTAGAGCAATAAGCCATCTTGAAGAAGTAAGTGACGAGGGAATTCAAGCCATGTCTGCAGAATCAGTTATTGCTGTGCTCCTTCCTACCACTGCATACATCTTGCGACTTAAATGTCCTCCAGCCAGAAAGATGATTGAATCAGGTACATACATTAAATACAAGTGACTGTCTTATTTCCCTCAAAGATATGATCAGTGGTGCAGGATATCAATGATTTAATGATCCTAAAAGCAACAGTTCAAATGATCATGTACTCTGATCATCATAGTAGGAGAAGTCTTGAGAAGGGCTATTGTTTGAAGCATTGACTGGAGTTTTCACATCCTGGATGGAAATCACCATGAGATTATGAAGAATTCATTGCTTTCAGTTGACCTGCCATCAGACATACAACTGGAACAATGACTTCTGTGCAGGTTGTAGATTGTCAGTCACTACAACAAACAACAGGTGATCAGACTAAATTATCAGACAAGCACCTTCTATTCATATCTACAGTACTGTTTTACAACATACAGGTGTACTGTTCCAATTTGGTTGGAAAATAGCAAATCCAAGAGCAGTGTTGATTGTTAAAAGTTTTCATTGAGAAATGTGGTCACATGAAAACAGTGTAAAGAGTGAAAATGGCTCCACCATCAAAAACTAAGCAGAGAATTCTGCTTTACAAAGAGTCCTCTTCTTTATAATGAACAGGGTAATTTAGTAATATCACCCACCTGAGTTGATAACATGAATTGGCCACTATAAAGAGTTTCAAAGCTGACGTTTTGAGTGTCAGCCTTTCCTCAGAGTGACAAAAGGTTAATGCTTGAAACATCATCTTTTAAACTCTTTATGGTGGTCAATTTAATCAACTCAGTTGATAATACTTAATTACTCTGTTGATTACTCTCCCACTGAGGCAGAACCACAGTTTATCCCCTTTATATAATAAGCACCATTGTTGTTTCTCAAACAGGTGTACCAGTAGCTCTTGGATCTGATTTTAACCCCAATGCCTTCTGCCTATCTATGGTAAAGTGCTGTTTGTGGTAGCACATTATTTTTTTTATTTTGAAAGAATTCTTGTCTGAATATATTAATTATTATAACACCTAAATTGTATGGGATATCATATAAATTTTGTTTCAACATAATAATTGTAAATAATGTTAACTTGAGACTTGCATTGAGGAAGGGTAAAGGTCAATTAACTGGATGCCACTAACAACTTATCTTGCAGTTATCAAGTCACACTTTGTTTTAAAATCATAATATTATACTGATGATAAATGTTTTGAAGTAATTCCCCCTTCCTGAGCATACAGCCTTTGGCCTAGTTTTTATGTGCAAGGCATAGGAAAAAAAAAAAGATTGATTCAAACCAAAAAAGTTTTAGCAGGTGTTGGGTGCTATTTTTAAGATGTCATGTACAATGAAGTACAGTGTTAATGAAGACTTGTGGTGTAAAGTTAGTCTAATGAGCCCACTTTTCGTGCCATAGAAGTGTTTCTCTGAAGGCCAGAGATGTGTTGACATACAGGCTTTTTGATTGATCTCTGAACAGCCTTTAACAATGCACCTTGCTTGCGTTAATCTGGGCATGACGATGGAAGAAGCTCTGGCAGCAGCCACCATTAATGCAGCAGCGTCTCTGGGTAGGTCACACACTCATGGATCACTGGAACCTGGAAAAGTTGCTGACATGTTGATTATTGATGCTCCAAGGTAAAAAAAAAAACGTTGATGATGCTGTTGCATATATATTTGGCACCTATGAAAAGGTTCAACTCATAACATCTAGAATTTAGAGTGATTTTTAATAGGTGATGATTGAGAAATGAGTGTTATGATTGGGTATATCATACAATTACTTTGTATTGTAGTTATCCCTAACATGTGGTTCATAATGCTGATTGATTTACTGTAATTTATGATTGAGCACCAGGCAATTTTTTTTATATTCCTGAGGAAGGCAATGAAAAAAGAAAATGGAGTTGTACACACAGATAATTACTCCTTAGGCTAAGAAAGTATTGTTGAAGAATTCATGCAACTTCATGTTGAGATAATTAGCGAGTATTAAGTTTGCCTCTGGCAAATAGTTGTAAAATTTGATAAACACATGTATCTCTCTCTCTCTCTCTCTCTCTCAGTAAATCATCAATTTGTTTGAATGTTTGAATGTTTCAGGTGGGAGCATCTTGTTTATCAATTAGGAGGCCATGATGATGTCATCAAGTTTGTAATTAAGAATGGAAAAATTGTACATAGCAGATCTTATTAGAATATTTGCGCAAAGAGTGACCCTCTTCCTCGCTGCCACGAGACCTTCCACATAAAAAATAAATTAATGTAGATTTTCAGTAGTCAAAGAGAGGAGTTGAGTTCATAACGGGTGAAAGACGTAGTAATAACAGACAATTGTAACTGATGATTGTTACATTAGGAATATATTTTCATCCTATGAATGAAGATCTTCACTACTTTACTTTTGTATTTGAGACATTTAACAAAGGGGTCTCAACATCCATTGAGAAGTCACTGCATAGGTAGCATCCAAAGGCCAAACCAGAAATTGATGAAACTGAGGTATAGATGGGGCATGAAATGAGCCGTAGATCTGAAGACTTTGCTATTTTTAACCTCATAATTGCTTGACTTTTTACCGAAAGAGAATATTTGTAGAGTTGTTATTCCCAATAATGTAATAATGGCTGTTCAGAGGTTTAGTCTTTGAGCCTTGAAAACATCAAGTTTGCTCGCTGACATGCTATTAGTTATCTTTTCAGAGTAAACCTGCAGAAACCCTTTTTAATAACGATCCATACAATTTTTCATTATGATCCATCCAAATACCAATGTCTTTTGGTCAGAGACTATAAGCGCATCTAGAAACCTTAGCTACTTGTTATAAAGAGAATAGCGACTTTTAGCAAACCACGACGGCGACGGCAACGAGGACGTGGCAAAACAAAAGATCTAATGAGCAGAACAATAGCCCAGCACGTGCGTTGTAAAACTGTGTACATTTCTTAGCCGTCCTCTGCAAATAACAACTTGAAATCATCAAAATTTGCGTGGTCTTAAAAAGGGAACCCGAGGGAAAATTATTTAAGTTTCCATTTAGTACTCCACGTCGCTCTTATACGTTATGGTGAGATTAATTTTTGGCGCAATAAGAGATGATAAGCACATCCAGTAGTTCGCGAGATTCCAAGTAAAAAATATATATTCATTTTTAAATCGACGTCTTCCATGGCGTGGCCTTCCTAACTGCTAAATAGAGAATAATACATGGGCGCGCGTAAATAAGGATTTTCTCTTCGAGTGTTTTACTCGATAGCTCATCACGAGTGAGAGCGGTGAACGAGTGAGATGTCGAGTTAAGAACGAGAAGAAAAATTCCATCATTTTGTTTATCTTCTAAACACAATAGCTCTTCATTGACAAGAAAGGGCGACTTTATTAATAAATGAAAATAAAGGAATCGACAATTCCCGAATAAAAATTGCACAGTGGGTTGGTGCTAAAGGCTCAAGATGAAAAAAATTGTAATGAAATATGAACACAAAAACAGTTATGGGCGCTATTTTCAATTTACAAAATTCCTATTCATTGACTTTTTCCTTACCGACAGAAGAATTCTTTTGGATACACGGGCAAAATTGGCCTGTGGCGAATCTTCCAGTTGTCGATTCTCGTCCTTAGCCGCGAGAAATGCCAATACCAAAGCCACTGAATATATAACTTTCGGTTTTCCTTTTCGTATACTGGTTTTCTCTGCCTTCTAGTAAAGTTTGAACGTCACTGTAAGCGATACGGATTTTTCAGTGTTTAAGCAGCTATAATCCGAACGTAATCCTACAAACGACCTTGGATTGAGAACAGTGATGGCTTTGCGTTTCGTTCATCAACCTGACCGAGTGGCGCGAAAGGCGAGTGACGTGTCATCAGCTGATTGGGGATATCTAATACACGTGAAAAATATCTTATTTTTCCATGTGTGTTGTTTCCGTTTTTCCTCGGGGCTAAAAATCCTTTTATAATACCTTAGTTTATACTATAAAATATATTCCAATCCATGCTACAAACGTTATGAGTTTATAACAATCCAACTCCTAAGAGCTATGACTTCTTTCAACCCGTACCTCAAATGCATTAGTGCATGCCGATGTAATCTAAAATAACTCTTCCAACCCATCTCAATAATATTACAGCGTGATTCATTTCAAGCTACAAACTATATTAATGCATAACATACAACTTATATATGTCAAAAAGTCTTCCAATCAAGCCTGCCTGTCCCGGATTTTCCAAGATATAACAATCAGGGAGTGGCTTAAGCGAAAAATCAAAGAAGTCTAAGATGGTACACGTTTGAAACTAGTAAACGTGATGATTTATCTTGGTGAGTGAATTGAGCGGAGTGTAATTTGTCTTAGTAATCACATGATTTCGATTGCAACTTAGGATAAATCAGCACGAGCAAACTTTCAAGGACAAACCAAACTGCGGGCGAGTGCAATTTGTAGTCTTTGAAACATTTTTGAGAGCTAATTTATCCCAAAGTGCACGAGACTAATAATTCGATTACTATTTAAAATGATATAAACAAAAATATGAATGTTATCTGTTTATCTTAATCTCTCGTCATTGCTCAGTACTTCGCCTGCTTGCCTTTGCCTTTTGTTGGCGTATTAGAACTTTTCCCTTAAGAACTCGCTTCAAGCTTTTAAGCTCTCTATTACGAATAATCGAGCTTTTGTATTCTTTGTCTTTTTGGTATCAGTCGACAGCAGTAACCATTCCATGATAGATATCGCGTCGCTAACCTTCCCCCCGTCTTACGTACGAACTGTTGCGTAAAACTCCTTGAGAATTTTACTCAGGCCTCCGGTACATACTTTCGTAGCTTCTTTTGGAAGTCCAAGTCTTACCGACATTTTACAATTTTTTTGGTTCCTTTGGGTTTTTCGATTTTAGCATTCTCCCCCAAACTATGAAATTGTGACTTTTTTCTTCACCTCCCCGCCATTTTGTTTTGTTGTGCATTTGCGACTTACCTGTCAGTCAACTCAACTTTCTAAAATCAGCTTCAACTTTAACACTCAATTTTCAACTTTCGGCATCTTTTGGGAATAATTGACGTGTTCTCGGCCAATGAATATGCTGAAATTTTTGCTTGTATATTATTACAGACCGAAATTGCACGACACGATGCATAAAATATTTGAAGTTCAGTGACCACTTTATTACATCCATTTTGAAATTGCAAATTTCAGTCGCTCATTTACAGGATTTTCTAATCTGTTCAAACATTTTATGGATTCAATACTGAGATGGTTGATAAAAAGTTGCTAAAATTGTCTTTCATTTCCTGCACTGTGATAAGTTACTTTAAGCAAGCCTTGATATGTGATTGATTGTGTTCTAGTAAAGCTTTGTAATTGGTCTGGAAAATGCGATTTAGAGCAAAAAGTGGTGCGATTCGTGAATCAGTCGCACCGGTGAGAGCCAATCAGATTACAAGGATCACCAGAGACGTCAAAATGGATGTAATAGATTGTAAAGTGAGTGTGGGAGCATATTTCTGTATCGACGAAGAGATTTTCTTGGGTACAAAAATTTAACGAAGTTTAAATTTTGAAAGAATCGCACTGATTTGAATAAGATGTCAATCACTGGGAAAAGTTTAAAAAAGAACGATCTGCAACTTGAAATCTACCTCATTTGGAGCACTGAATCAAATAAGTGTTACAACCTTAAACGGCGACCATATAAATTTAACGAGGTACCTGCCTGTAATACAACAGTGAAGCAGGTAGACACGCAATTCATTTATGCCAAAACAGGGAATTGCAAAATTTCCTTATCATGTGACTCAAAACTAGTACTAACATTGAGTAAGAACGAAGATAAAAATTCATAATTTGTTTATTGAATTCTTTTCTAGAGCCGGTGTATAATTTACTTATTCTAAATTAAAACACTTCCTGAGTGATTATCCCAAAAAATAAGATCCAGTTTCCTATTGAGAATAATTGAATAGTTTTGTGGAAGGTTATCTTTAATTAGCCGCAGGTTGCTCTGCTATATTGATCTGTCTTTCCTCTCAGACGATAGAGAATCCTTTCAAGCCTTTCAGCTCGGGTTTTACTTCAAGAAGCAGTGAAAAATGCATTAGATTTTTCAGTTGGGTATCGTTTGCACTAGATCAGTAACAAGGTCAGTATTCTCTAATTCAAAACCTTCATACGTTACAATTTTGGCGCCACAGATTGAGGTAAATGTTACCAACAAATTTTAAAAGATACACTATAATAATTATTTATTTACATTGACTTAGGACTTTTCCCCTCCTAAAGTTTAAATTTCAAGACAAACTGTAGAGTTTAAGAGAATGTACATGTGGTTATTGTGATTACCTTGCACTTGTTATGTTTTACCAGACGAAGATCGCCAGTTCGAGACTAGGCGGTGAAGCTGCTCCATTCTTAAAAAGAACTCCGTTACGAATGAAAATGGAGAGAGAAAAAAAGTACTCCGGTGAGATCAGTCTATTGTATCCACTGATGCAACAAGTTAAGAATTAGAAAATATTCAAAAAGAAAGATGTCATTTCTAGTGAAGAACGTCTGACCAAAGAAAGATTTCAGTTGTCGAATTTCCGTGCTCTGCCGCTGTACTGAGCGACAGAGAATTCGAACTCAATGGTGAACGATATCATTACAAGGTTCACATCTGATAAGTTTCCAGCATATTGCTTGGATCAACACTTTCGAAATAGAATAGGGACGATATCAGGCTGTCAGTCGTTTAGTCAGAGTGACGGTACGGTCAGTAAGTTGGTTAGTCAGTCAATCATTCTGTTGCACTATGCAATTATCATCTTCGTACTCGTACGGCACACACAACCATGCAATCAGCATAAGCACGAGCACTGCACTTTGTATTAATCAAAACTATAACAAAATTTTCGAGCGCGTCTGGTTATTACCAGCCCGATTTGAGCAGCAATAGGACAGTGTACGCATCATGCTTGTAATTGGACGGTTTAGTAGGACAGTTAAAGGGACAGTTCATACGTCATGCCTGTGTAAGTGGACAGAACCGTCACGTGCACGCGCTGTTGTCTCGCATTTCGCCGAGGTAGCTGTTGTTGTTGTTGTTGTGTTTTTTTTTTCTGAAAACGTGTAACCGATTCTAGTTTCTTTCTCATTAGTTTTGATTAATTGGTAACAGGACTTCGTGTCCTACAATTCTGTCTGTGGTCATACTCGTGATTAACAAATCGAACTTCCGCTTCGCGGTCGTACGATTTTGTTAATCACTCGTATGATTACTGACCGAATTGGACTCCACTTGTTCCTATTACCATTATCAATTATAATGATTTCGTAATGAATAAGGTTTTTGTCAGTTTTTACATGGAACTGAGCAAGTAACAACTCAATCAGTCTGTCAGTTAGTCAGCAAGCTTTCAGTTAGTCTGTCAGTCAGTTATTCATTCAGTCAGTCAACCAGTAGGTCAGTCTGTTTTAGCCTGCCAGTCTATCTGTCTTTTCTTGTCTGTCTCTTTGTTTTTCTTCTGTTTTTCTTCTAATACTATTTGTAGTTAAAAAGAAGAAACGTACCTCAATGTGCCACTAACAGTCGGTGATCTTTGACATCACGTATGTGTCACGTGAACAAGCATGGGCTGTAAAATACAGCTTTTCTTGACTGGTGTCTTTGCCTCACTGAACAGGCTAGAGGGTCGAAGTTGTCATCACAGGAAGAGGAAATTTAACTATCGGGCAGCGCCTAAACTCAATAAAAAAGCCATAAACCTGAATAAAGTCTCCGTGGGAAGCAGGCAAAATTTAAGCCGTGGAGTATAGTGCTAAATGAAAAAGACTGATCTTTATTCTTGAAAGTTTGACCAAATGTACACTGATTGAAGTCTTTCAGTCAAGTCTTTACCTAAAATAGCATGATAGGAGCCTTAAGCAAACCATTACGACGACGGCATAAAGGACGTGGCAGGACAAAAGATCTCATGGGTAGACAGGGAACAATAGCTCGGCTAGTGCGTATGAAAATTTTGTACATCTCTTTGCTGACCTCTGTAAAACAGTCACGTAAAATCAGCAAAATCTTCCACTTTATTACATGAACTGTAAAATCGCAAATTCAGTCGCTCATTTATTTTAGTTTGGTCAAATATTTTATGGATTCAGTACATTGAGCTGGTTTTTGAAAAGTTGCAAAAGATATCTCTCATTTTTCTGCAATTTGACTGATTTCTTTAAACAAGCGCTGAAATTTGATTGGTTGTTGTGTGACAGTAAAGCTGTCTCATTGGCCGAGAAAAAGATACTATTTAGAGCATAAAACGAAAGAATAATTATGTAGCCGGACACATCGTTGAAGGAAACGGACATTCTTCTTCTTGGCTAAGAGCAAGACTCTCACGGTAGTCCAGATTTTCTTTCTCATGAATAAATCAATACA